ATTCTCCTTTTTATTTACCTGTCCTGGGTCCATGTTCTCAGGGTTGGGGCCTGGGGACTATTTGTTGTTGCTTCCTCTTCCCGTCTTTTTTTGCTTCTTCCAGGAGGCCCCAGTTTCTTTCTTTGTTGGTTACAATTCTTCTCAAGTACGCTGGCTAGATGACCCTTCCCATTGCCACCTATAGTTAATCTTACCTATAGTAAATCTTATTGACTATATTCTGAGAGAGGGAACTGAACAATAGAAAATATTTATTTAAACAATTGAAATGAAAATGTTCATTGGGTACTAAGTCAAGGTTTATTTATGTGAACATGTATGTGTGCCTTATATAGCAGCACAAGCACTGTCACAGAGGAGAACACAAACCAGAGGTGGGAGACAGCTACTGTGTCCTGTTTCATTTATTTATTTGGTGCCGAGACTTGCCCTCAGGGCTTCAGTGCATTCCTAGCCCCAGAAAGTTCATCTTAAATGCCCCTTCCAAAACTCAGTCTGTAAAATCAGGCATCCACATCTGGACCCTTTTCCTTCTGCCCATCTTTCATTGTTTAGCTGTCATATTGAAAAGCTTTTCTTTTCTCCAGTCAGAATGTATTAGTATATTTTAGATATACATAATGCGCACACCCATTACAGAGAATCTGTGCCTGCAGATGATATAACTTGTTTCTTTTCCCCCATTCCTCTACCTTTCCTTCAGCCCCCCTCCCTACCTCATTTACAAAAGCTTTGTTTCTACATTTCCTTTCCTTTTTTTTTTTTTTTTTTTTTTTTTTTTTTTTTTTTTTACTTTTGAAAAGCTTTTCTAATCCCTGTTTTTACTTTTAAAAATTGAAGGGAAAGTAGCTTAAATTCTTCCATTTTGTAAGCCATACAACTAAAGCTAGCTATTTATTTGTTAACTAAAGCTATTTTAAAAGAATTTATTCAGAAAGGCTGGGAAATGTAGCTCAGTGACAGTACTAATGTAGCACATGCAAAGCTCTGGATTTGATCCTCAGCATGGCAGGGCGAAGGAAAAAAACTGAAAACTTTAGAAAAACAAACAAACAAACAAAAAAAAAACGATGTTCCCAGCATCGATATACAGATATGCTGTGAGACTGAAATACTGTCAAAATAACATGCTAATCACATAATTCATAATAATATCCAATTCAGTTATTTCTCAACATGTTTGTGATATACAGTATCTTTCAGAAAACAATAAAGTGAACTCTTAGGGAATCACAGGTGTGTTTTAAAGTTCCTTTTGTACATTGATGACCACATGCTAGAAGGATGCACAGGTGAGGACATGCCAAAAGACCTTGATTTGTTCGCTGGAGTCAGAGCTAGGCTGAGAGCCAGCAGTAAACTTGCAGAAATGGAAGTTGGTGTGCCCACAGCTGATTCAGTGCATATTCCTCACACGGGCAGAAGAAAGCCGAACTCCTTTTGACTACACTGACTCCTGAGTAGAGACAGTTTTCATGCTGTTTTGTGTAGACCTGTGTTTCTAGTAACCTCCATTGATAACTCCTGGAAAAGAAAGAGGATGCTCCTTTTCTTTCGTAGCAGCAAATATTTGTCTACCTTTAGCCAGAAGTCTCCTTGCGGACTGTTGAGAATGAGAATGTCAGCAGGGAAGGACAGGGAGAGACAGGGAGACAGTGGTGACGGGACAGGTTTCCTGCTGCTGAGAACTTACATTCTACTAGGCAATGAAAAAGAGGGACACGTGTGAAAGATTTTTTTTTCTTTAAGCAAAACTGTCACAGTGAAACACACATTCCTTTAAAACCCCCAAAGTATCCTTTTAAACTTCTTGTCATATTTTCAAATAACATGCTCTATGTATACTTTTCTTCAACCTCCAAATATGAGATCAGGTAAAATACCTCTCAAGCAATGATTCCAATTGGTAATCTTAACAAAAAACCATAATACTCTTTTGTCTTTGTCTCTGCTAGACAAAGGACATCCTCTAATGTATTTACAGTTTTTCCTGTATGTCCTGACCTTTAGCTCTCTCATAAATGAGGAAACATAGATTTCTGAAATTACACAACTCCAAGGTAACAGTTCCTAAAAGATACCTGTGTGCTACCATATATAAAGGCTGCAATTCACAGAACAGCACTGCAATCAGCTCTTCCTTGGCCACTACACACTACTGGAATATGAGCTCATCAGGGTTGCTTACAGGGTCCCCTAATGAGTCACATTTAACATTAGCCAATGAGAACACTCCAGCAGTCTTGGCACACAACTCAGGGACCATCACTGAAAGAGCGGGGAATGGGTGGTGGGAGGAAGTCAGGGACGGTTTGCACAGGGAGGTGTGTGGGCTGCTGGTGGTGAAGTGAGCCTTGGACTCTCAGGTTCAAGTAATCCTCCTGGGTCAGCCTCCTGAGTAGCCAAAAGTACAAGGGCCATAGCACCTGGCCAGATACCCATGTCAATGTGTAGTTTTGGAGAGATGTTAAAAGACGGCGGCCACACATGTGTAGCCATCACCACAATCAAGATGTAGAAATTTCCAATTAACCCTCGGAATTCCTTGAGGCTTCTTTTCAGTGGTAGTGTTCCCTTCCCCCCTTCTCTGCCCTCAGGCAACCACAGATGTACTTTGTAGCAGCAGCATTTGGTAAGTCTACATTGTCTCAAATGACATATAAGTGCCCCATTGCTGTGTATAATTGAGTCTGGCCTCTTCCACCTGCCCTGACCCTTCAAGATTCATCCATATCATTCCATGTTTTAAACTTTTTTTTTAATATTGAGTAGTAGTTGGTTGTATAAGTGTACCACAATTTGTTTATACATTCACTAACTGAAGGGCATTTGTTTCCAGTTTGGGGGCTATAATGAGTGAAGCTACTATGGAAACTTTAGGAGATTCAACAGAACCGTCTAGAAACTGATAAGTAGGCTGTATCTGGAGGAGCAGTCAGGTACTTGATAACCAAGTTGAAGAGCAATAACTAGTTTTGTAAAAACCAACTATTGCCAAAAGTAAGATGGGAAAATAAATGCCTAACAGCAAAGAGAGGACTGCTCATTGGCCATGTTTAGGGCATGGGGAAGACATTGCAACACCACTGGCAGGAGAGAATGATAGAAACACATAGTTGTTGTATTTTGACAAGGACTGGAACTGAGCCAGTGGACCCAACCCTGTTTTCCCTGGCTGTTTCTCCAGGATGTGTTTGATGGCCTGTCCAGGCAGTGGAGACAGCCCTCTGTTCAGAGTCAGACTGCAGCGGCCGTGGACCTCGTCAGACAGGCATGAAGAGATTACCTGCCTTAGGCTGCTGGGAGAATAAAATGAGAACCTGCCTTAAGTCCCTTAGTGTTCAGAAGAGGGCGAGGAAACATGTATTATGATTAAAAATCATGTACACGCCAGGTATGGTGGGCACACATGGGTAATCCCAGCAGCCAGGAGGATGAGGCAGAAAGTTTGTTGAGTTTGAGGACAGCCTGGATTATATATTGAGGTCAGTGCTAGCCTGGACTAGGTAGGGAGGCTATCACCAAAGAACCAAAACAAACACTCAAACAAAACATATTCTGTAATACTGCTGACTCATAAAAGAATCCAAATGTTCCCTTAGCAAGTCAGAATATTTTAATATATTATTTTCTTAAATCACACTAAATGTTTTCTGTTGGTTATAGAATCACTGAAGAATTGGCTCAACCAAAATGTGGTTAGATTTTAGGTTTTTGCCTGTGTCACAAAAGCTCCTGGTGGCTGCACAGATGTTAGCCTGACTGCTAGGGGGCAGCTTTCCTTCTGAAGTTCCCACCCACAATTTTTCAGGCCAGAAGCATCCTTGGAGTTGTGAACAAATCTGGTTGCAGAAGGCTTTCTCGGGCGCTGACTCTGGCTGTGTGGGCCCACTCGGAATCGCGGGTGTCAGCTATGCGTTCCCCAGTGCGGGCTTCGAAGCAAGAACTGAATTGGGACACTTGGCTTCAGTCCTAACTTTACAGCTCCTACCTTGCCTGTCTGAGGCTCGGAGCCGCCTCTCCTGTCTACTGGGCTCCCGCCAAGACCCGGTTTGGAGAGGGAGCGCTGTCTCAAATGACTGTAGGCGACACCCAAAGGTCTGGCGTCCCCAGGTGGTTTATCCGGATTAAGCTAAGTGCCCCGACCTCCACCCCTTCTGAGGCTTCCTCCGCGCTGCGCCGAGCCCTGGGCGTTTTTGGACTGTTTCTAGGAGCCCTCCGGGCTCAGGGGCAGCGCCCGGCGCCGTCCAGCTCCAGGTGCCGCAGGAGGCGTAGTTTTCGCCCCACTTTCCGGGACGGACGCGCCCAGGGACTGCAGGGCCGGGCTGGGGCCAGTGCGCCCCGGAGCCCAGCGAGGCTGGAGGGAGGCGCGGACACACCTCCGCGCCTTCTTCAGAGAGCAGGGCGCCGGGCGGTCCCCTTCTCCCCTCCTTCTCCCCGCAACAAAGGCTCTCGGGGAGCCGGAAGGGGCGGGCCGCCGGGCGCCCTGGAGTTTGAATCCCGCGCGCCTCTCCCATTGGAGGCGCGCTCCGGCCCGGTGGCTCGGCCGGCGAGGTGCTGCTTCCTCCACGTTTCCTAACTGTTCATTTTACAAACCTGTGGAACCCAGGTGGTTTCTTTAAGTTCTCTAGAAGGCTGCTTGTGTTTGTCTTTCTTCTTCCCCAAACGTTCTAGAAAGGGCGTTGTTTCAGGGAAATAATTCCGTGCTGTGTAGTCACGCATGATTTGTTTTGAAATTGCATCTTTCCTGAAGTCAAAAGCAGACACTTTGTATATGTAGTTATTTAGATCTTTAAACACCTTATTATAGTTAAAGGGGTTCTATGTGATGTCAAAATACAAAAGCCACAGTTTTTGTTGGAAAGAACAAAACAAAGGCACAGATTTCTCATTCAGACTCTGATCTGTTACCATTTTGGCTTACAGTAGTTTTGGAATATGTTACTAAAGGAGGGAAACTCGGATTCTCATTTCTCTCTGCATCGCCTTTTATTTTCCAGTCCAGAGCACAACCACCGGAAGACAACAGAAGGAAACCAGTTTTGGGGAAACTTGGCACTCTGTTTACGGCTGGAAGGAGAAGGAACACCAGGAACGGGGTCGAGAGTGTCAGTCCCACCACCGCAAACGCCAAGCCCTCCTCCCCCAAAGATGGAACCTCTTCTAAGCTCCCTGAGAGAGAGAGCGAGAAGAGCAAGACTGCCAGCGGCCAGCCAAAGCAAAAGGACACGAGCCCGAGCCAGGTGGGCGCCCCCCAGGAGCAGCCCCCGGAGGCCCCCGACGAGGAGGGCCGCACCGAGGCCACCCCTGCGGGCGCCCAGGTGCCACCTGCGTCAGGCAGCAGTGCAGGGCTTGCGCAGCGGTGCCCTGAAGGTGATTCACCCCAGCCAGAACCTCTGCGGGCAGACGGAGAGACCTTCCCAGATGCCACCGCTGCTGCCAAGCAGCTGCATTCCTCACCTGGGAATCCCTCCAGGCGAGAGAGCGCGGACCCGCCCGCCTGCAGTCTGGGGGAGGACGCCGTGCCCGGCGCTGGCTGCGAACCAGAGCCCGCGCGGGGTGCGCCGGGGTCGCCCAGCCGGGCAGGACTAGGCGAGGCCCGGGACGGACCCCTCCGTGCGGCTCCCGAGGGGGGCGCCCCGCGGCCGCCGGACGCGTGCAGCCAGCCCCCCGAGAACGCCTCGGCCCGGCCAGGCGCCGCAGCCGCCCAGGGCGCGGAGAGCGCGGCCGGCGCCCGGGTGCTAACCCTGGACATCTACTTGAGAAAGAGCGAGGCGGGGCAGGTGGACGAGCCGGTCGTGATTACACCTGGGCTCGGAGAGGACTGCGGCGGCGATTCCGACGACATGGAGAGGAGGGCGAACGGTCGCCGGACCGGCCGGCGGAGGAAGTCGCAGAAATCCACCGACTCCCCGGGCGCAGAGGCCGGGCTGCCCGGGAGCCCAGCCCGGGACGACGCGGTGTTCGACGACGAGGTGGCGCCAAACGTCTCCGCCGAAAAGAAAGTGAAATCTCCGCGTGCGGCCCCGGACGGGGGCGTTGCCTCCGCGCCCAGCTGCGAGTCCAAGCCCGGCCCCAAAGGGCAGCTCCGCGGGGAGGCCGAGCGCACCAAGCCGCCGGCCCCCGCCGCGTCCCCCACCAAGAGGAAGGGCCGGAGCCGCGCCCCGGAGCCCTCGCCGAGCCCGCCTGCCTGCGGCCTGCGGGCTCCCGCCAAGGAGTCGCCGCCCAAGAGGGCGCCCGCGCAGCCGGAGCCCGGCCCGAACGCCAAGGGCGCGGCGGCCGACGGCGGGGAGGAAGCGGCCCGGGTCATTCCGCGCGAGCTCACGGTGAAGAGCAGCTCGCTGCTGCCGGAGATCAAAGCCGAGCACAAGAGGGGCCCGGTCCCCAGCCACCCCGATGGCCGGGCCGACGGAGGCCGAAGCAAAGAGCTGGGCAGGTCTGCCGGAGCGTCCGAGGCTGACACCTTGAAGCCCAGGAATCATTTCGGTGTGGGCAGGTCGACGGTGACCACAAAAGTGACCCTGTAAGTAGCCGCGGAATCGGTCCAGCCAGAATAGAGTGTCCACACGCAGGAGTGGCGCAGCTCGGGTCTTCGCATTTTTGGAAATTGGGTACTTTAATTTAATAGAGTGAAGGACCAGGTTATCCAGTTAAAATTTAAGAAGCTGACACGTTTGGTAGCCTTGTGCATTAATTCTCATTTTCATGTAAGATTTTAGGTAAATGAATGTAAAAGTAGGAAACCCCTGAAGGCTCACTGTTTACATGAATAACAGATAAGATTTAATGGCTTGACATTAGTTAATTAAGGAGATTAAAGAAAATTGTTCTGGAGTGGTTCAGGGTAAAACATTCTTAAAACACAAGAAGCAAACAGTGGTATGTTCATTGTGACCCTGGAGCTATGATGTGAGTTTAACAATACACAGAATCTTTTATGAAACTTACTGCATGATTATCCTAAATTTTTCTTTAAAAAAACTCACAATCCAAGTAGTATTTGGTTGTTTCATTCCCTTTCATTCCCTAATGTTAGGAAATCTGTTATTTTTGCTCCCAGGCTAAAAATCAATTTTCAGTTATTGAAGAAAATATACATGGTTTTACTGGGAAATTGTCTAGGTGAAAGGGCACGAAACAGCCATGTGCTGTTAATTTTATTGATTTTACAAATATTGAGTACCTTTTACATAGGGTGTTATTCTGGGTAGTATGGGGGGGGGGCTGAAAATGTGTTTATTTGTTGCCAAAGTTCATGGCCCTTGCTGGATGAGCAAACAAATCAAAAGTGTAGGGGAGGAAGAAATTGTGGGCTTTTGGAGGAGCTGGGACTTTGGGCCTTATAAGTGCGATTTCTGTAGGTGGATAGGATTGGGCTATAGAACTCTGTTTTTGCTCTCCGCACCTCACCCCTTTCCACTTAGCACAGGTGAGAAGTGAGTTAAGCACTGAAGCTTTTCCTGCACTCACACGTTTATTAAACGAGTTGGCATTTGTGCAGTGTTATTCGTGAAATGAATGGGTTTTATTCTGTTTGGTTCTTTGGAAAAGGAAGCTTTGGAGTGGGAAGTCTGTTGGTAAACACTTGAGGAAAATGTGCTTAATGAATAATGTGGGCACTGTCACCAGCTGCCAGCCCACAGCAGCTGCCGTGGAGACAGTCAGTTACTTGTTTTGTAGCAGTGGAGAAGCAAGCTGAGTGGATGATGCCATTATTTGCAGAGCGCTGTGAATGCACACTGAAACGCTCCTGACTATGAGATTAGAGGTAGTTGCTATGTATCTGATTGAGGACGCCTCAGCTGTCTTCCAATGGGAAAACTAGAACTGTTACTGTTAAAAAGCAGGGTGAATGAGGGACAGGAAAGCCAGTCCTGCAGTGAAACCCTTCTCATGGGCTGCTTCCTGATACAACTAAGGGAATGTCTTTTTCTTAGCACTGATTATTTTTTAGCTAAAATTTTTCTTTACTGTATATTTTATGTAATTTTGGTTTTTGCACAGTGCCTTGTAAGTGAATTGGCAAACTATTGAAATGGAAATGAAATAATTCTTTCCAGACTTTTGATCTATTTCTGATCCCTTTAAATCTTCCTGTGATTGTAGCAAGTAAAAATGTTAACGGATTATGTTTTTTAGAACAATGAGACTAAAGAGTTAGAAAAACTACTGGTATTCTTTATTCTCTGAAAAATGACTAAAGCTGCATGTTTCTTTATTAGAAATACTATTTCTTCATGTTCTCTACTAAGTGCTGAATTTTGAAATTCTTAAAATGATACATTTAAAATAGGGAGAGTTTTCCTGTTGTATACCTTTGGTTCTCTGTATTCCAGATTCTTTTTCCTCCTCTTGTATTAGTATAATGAAGGTATTACAACAGGAAGTATGGGAGCCTTCCTTTTAATCAGTCTCAACTAGGTTAATTGTAGTGACTCTTGGTAGGAGCACTTAATAGCACACCAAGTTTAATTGTGAAAGGTAATCTCATCTTGGTGCACATCTTTAATCTGCAGATGTGCTTCCTATATCTGAAAGGTAGCTGTTGGCTAACTGTAGCATTTTCCACTTACATCATAAAATTTTCTTTGATATTTGATGAGGGGACTTGAGTGCTGTTCCTTGCGCTGATTGGTGAGAGTTTGTTAAAGGTGTATTCCCTAGTATGTGACTATTTTTCTTTCTTTTGTCTTTTTCTTTGAGACAGAGGCTCACTATACAGTTCAGGTTGGCCTTGAGCTCACTTTGTAGCCCAGGCTGGTCTTGAACTTGCAACGATCCTCCTGCCTCAGCCTCCCAAGTGCTGGGATTATAGGGGTGTACCATCATGTCCGAATTGTATGTGACTATTTTTCATTAATTGATACAGCATTTATAATCTCTCCATTTCTAATTATCTCACTGGTTTGGAATTTAATCTTTGAGGAAAGGCTTGTAAGTTAATTTTGCTTTTAAATTTAATATATGGGCCTATGATAAAGGAGTCTAGACAGTTTAAGGATATAATGGGGACAACAATGTCAGAAAATTTATGATCATATGTTAAACTTAATATTTAAATAAAACCTTAAAAGATGAAAATACGAATCTTAATTTGTGAAGAACTTGATGACATCTAGCCCGGCTTTCTTTTTCTGTGGAAGGATAAGGAATTTCACCTGGAGTTACTCTGTGTGTTCGATCCAGAGGCTCCGCAGTAGTACTGGCCTTAAAGATAGAGTCCGTGTGGGAGACTGTCAGCTTTGCATTCATCTCCACCTCTGTGATATCATTGTCAAGTGACCTTGAAGCGATCGCCTTATCTAATAGAAATTCTGATAACTCATTGAGCTCTTACCTGAAGGTGTATAGAGCAGAGGACCTCAGTCAGGCAAATCTCTGCGGACCCTGAGAGGCCAGGAACGCGGCATCTGAGACCACAGCACCTGCTTCGAATCTTTGCCCTGTTACTTAGTGTGTGGTCACACTCAGATGCCTCAACTTCCTCCCCTTAGAATGTACAAATTAGTACATTAGGTAGGCAAAAAAAGCATTTTTCAAGTGATTGGCATGTGACTCTAAGTGACTAGCAGTTTTTATTTATCTCCACTGTTTTATACACTATTACACCAATTTTTTTTAAAGCTTTGGAACCCTTTTAGGAAAGCTTGTGTGGAAGTGGTATAAACAGATAAGATATTTGTAGAAAGGAGGTGGGCAGTCTCATCCTGCAGTCCCTACTATTCCCAGCCAGAGCCAGATTCCTTTAAACGTAAGTTGGAAGGAAATAAAAATAACTAAACCATTTACTTTTTGTAGAGAGAGAAAGCAGAGTCCAGAGAAGTAAAGCCGTTCGACGTTCACACAGATAATTAGTGTGAGACGAGGCCGAGGGCAGCCAGTGCCAAGCAAAGCACATTTTGTTGTTGCAAAAGAAAGCGCTGTGTACAGTTAAAGCCATTATTCCTATATAGCCAAGAAGTGTGGCAAAGGAAGAGCCTTTCTTTATCCAAGTGGTTACAAAGCCAACAGCTGAAGAATGTATCAGTAAATTGTGGTATATACACATGGTGGACTTCTATACAAACATTACGAACACTTTGCAAACAATTTTTTTGGTATCAGGAATCAAACTCATGACCTCATGCCTGACACTCAGGTGCTTATGCCACTGAGCTATATCCCCGGCCCCAAAATTTTTAATTGTAAGATTTAGCAAGCTTTTTTTTTTAAAGGCAAGATACCAAACCCTAATAATAGAAAAATCTCAATTCTATTAAAATATTTATGCATATAAAAAGACTGGAAATGAGCTAAAATACTAGTGGGAATATCCCCTAAGAAGTAAGATTATAAGTAATTTAAAAACATTTTTTTCTGTTTGGCATGGTGGTGTATACCTGTAATCTCACCTATTCTACAAGCAGAGGTAAGAGGATCCCAAGTTTGAGGCCTGAGTAATTTAGCAATACTCTGTCTCACTATTAACAAGGAAAAACATTTCTTACAGTAAATGCACATATGATCAGGAAAGTATTCTGTGGAAAGCTTGACAGGAACAAAGTAATCAAAGAAGTCAGTAATACATGAGTATTTTAAGTAATCTAGCCTTTTAAGATAATTTTTGGAGCTAGGCATGCTGGTGTACACCTGTAATCCCAGCGCTCAGAGACTGAGGCAGGAGGATCATCATGAGTTCCTGGCCAGCCTTGGCTACATAGTGAGACCCTGCCTCAAATTAAACAAACCAACAAACAAAACAGGCATGGTGCAGTTCCAGCACTGGGGAGCTGAGGCACCAGGGTCACTCCAAATCCAAAGCCAGTCTGAACTACCGTGAACTACCGTGAGACCATGTCCCCCAAAAAACAAAAACAAAAAATAAACTTTTTAAATGTTACAGTAAAATAAAAACACATAATTGATGTTTGGGGAAATCACTTACATATTGAAAGTATGAAAGTATTAAATATTTAAATTTATTCTAATGTTCTTCAGATCCTACAGTATCGTCAACCTGTAGCACTTCGCATATATGTTAGTGCTCCATAAATTCGTTAGCCCCTCACCCTCAGTTTCTTAGTTATAAAACTTAATTCTCATATGCAAACAAAACATCTATTACAATATTTGATAATGTATTTAAGATGGCTTAAAATGTTTCAGATGCAAGGAAGATGTTGGTTTTTTATAGTGCTCTAATACATTTGTGTGTTCACTTTTTAAAACTAAGTTAGTAACTATCCTGCTTTCTTCTTGCAGACCTGCCAAACCCAAGCATGTGGAACTAAGTCTTAAAACCCCTAAGAATCCTGACAGTTTTGGAAATGAGCATAATCCATTTAGCCAGCCGGTTCATAAGGGAAACACTGCCACCAAAATCTCCTTGTTTGAAAACAAACGGGTAACTAGTAGTAGCCCAAGACACACTGACATTCGAGGCACAAGGAATATTCCTACCTCTAATAAGACATTTGTCGGGAGGGCAAAGCTGAATTTAGCCAAAAAAACTAAGGAAATGGAGCAACCAGAAAAGAAAGTAGTGCCAAACAGTCACCAGAATGGTGTCCTGGTGAAGGGACCAGCTGCAGGCTCTGAAGTTCCTCTGCCTGAAGAAGAGATTCTCCTAGCACCCGGCCAGAGGAGAGGAGAGCCCATGGAGAGTCAAGCTTCCGGCCCTCAGCCTACCTGCGATGATACAAAAGATGTGCAAACAAATGCTGGCTGCCCCTCAGAACCAGCAGCGACTGCGGCGATTCCTAACCAGGACCAGAAACTCTTAAAAGATGACTCTGAGGCTTCTGACAGCAAAAGACTTGTAGTTGAAAATCCGATCGATACAGCACAAGCTGTCTCCTCTGATGGTGATACCAAAGATTTACCCCCAAAACCACAGCCCCTAATTGAGTCATCTAAGGAGCCTTCTCCATCACTGCCCACTCCCATTCCTGTAGATGTTCCCAAAGACACGTGTGCTCAAGCTCCTATAAGCCCTGATCTAAAGGTGTCAGGAAAGCATAATGGATGTATTTTGCCTGTATCTCATCATGGTAAGAAAATGCCACTCTCCAAAGTTGGAAGTGGGGGAGAAGCAAACCCTCCTCCGCCCCAAGAGAGCAGCTCCGAAGCTGTAGGAAATGAGTGTCCATCCAAGGTCCTTGTCCAGGTCAGATCTTTCGTACTTCCGGTGGAGAGCACCCAAGATGTGAGCTCCCAGATCATCTCAGAAAGTTCCGAAGTTAGAGAAGTGCAGTTGCCAAGTTGTCACAATAATGAACTTGAGGTGGTTTCTGTTGCAAGTTGTACACCCCCGCAAGAGGAAGTACCAGGCAGTACAAGCACGTTGCCCAAACACACTCGTTCTAAAGAAGAAGAAATAGCAAAGTCTGACTCACATATTATGCCAGCTGAATCTGAAAAAGCTCTGCCTATCCAGGCCCAAAGCGAGGGCAGCCAAACACCCACCATGGCTGAATCTACCCCCATTAACTCTCCAAGCAGCAGAATTTATTCAGAAACTCCTCAAAGACCAGATGGAAGTGTTATGAATGGCCAGGATACCCCTGCTAGTCTTTTGAATGTCTCTGCTGGTAGTGACGACAGTGTATTTGATTCTTCCTCTGATATGGAAAAATTCACTGAAATTATAAAAAAGATGGACAGTGCAGTTTGTGTGCCTCAGAAGAAGAAAAGAGCCAGAACGGCAAACTCTTGTGCTCCTCATTTTGCTATGCCTCCTATTCACGAAGACAATTTAGAAAAGGTGTTTGATCCCAGTGTGTTCACTGTTGGTTTGGGAAAGAAGGAAAGTCAGCTAGAAATGTCACCAGGTTTACATCTGATGCACAGCCTAGACTCCAAGTCTAAAATGAGACCCAAACGTGCATCCACTGAACACAGTCTCCTCTTTAAATCCTTGCATGCCAACACTAATGGGAAAGGTGAATCTCAGGTGACTCCAGAGATAAATGACAAAGAGAACAGGGACATCCCCAATGGTGGAGTTAAAAGATCAAGGCTAGAAAAAAGCGCACTTTTCTCAAGCATATTATCTTCTTTACCTCAAGACAAAATCTTTTCCCCCTCTGTGACATCAGTCAAAACCATGACCACGTCTTTCAGCACTTCTCAGAATAGTTCCCCGTCTCTGACTGCAGTGGGACAGCCCACAACTGAGGGTGCCCGGCCCAGTGGCTCTGACAAAGAACAGCCAAATCTTCTGCCCCATAACTCCTTAAAGGTCTTCAACTTCAACTCATCAACCACATCTCATTCAGGTTTGAAAAGTCCAAGTCACGTGGAAAAGTGCCTACAAAAAGAAGAAACCAAAGAAGATCTGAATTCACAAAGTAACCTGCATTTGCCAGAAACTAAAATTTCCAAACTGAAGAACAGTGATGATATGGAAAAGACTAATCATATTGAAAGTGTTCTTAAATCAAATTTGCCAAATCTTGGAAACAGTGAGACTGATTTCACGAGTCTTTTCAAATCAAGTCTGTATGATCCAGGCATTTCTTTCTCTGCAATGTCATTATCGGACACAAAGGTAAGTACCAATATGGTGTTATTTGGGATATTTATAAGGCGGGGGGAGAGGGATGGTGATCATTTCATGCATTTCTTTAGAAATGTTTCGGCTATGTGTGATATTTTTGCATTCACCACAGACTTAAAGACCTGTCTTATAAAGGGTCAAGTAAAAAAACTTTTAAGACTTCTGAAAATATTCACAGTCATGAGGATAATGAGCTATGTATTTTAAAGTATTTGTGAATGTATTTATAGGAAAAATACAGATAAGAGTTTGGAGACAGATACTACACTGCTCTTATGTATTCTGTGTAAAAGTGCTCAGGACGTAGAATTTTGAAGATTTGTGAAGATGCTTCCTGTATTTGGAACAGCCCCTCCCAGCAAAGAAACATTTTTGTTTTCTTCTCTCATACTATGAGATTTCATTCATTACTCGTAGGAATATGTTCATACTATGCATCTAAGAATTTTATGTTTACTAGGAATGAGTTTTCATCAGTGAGATGTTTTTCCCTGCAAAGTTTGAGGCATAAAACCTTCTGGTTCACATTAGAGCTTTCTTTTAATATTGTAGTGAGGATCACAACTCCACGCACTGTTGCTTGGAGACAGCAATTTCTCTATCATCTTGTGTTTGATTGCGAGTTTTCCCTCTTGTTCGGTGTTGTGGTTTGTTTGTTTCATAGTCTGACCCTGGTGATTGAACTCAGGGCTTGTGTACATTAAATGCACTCTATCACTCAGCAACACACCAGCCAAAAAGTTGTTTTCCCCACTTAGTTGTTCATCGAATTTGTGCCATTCTGCTCCCAAGCTTGAGGCTCAGCCTGAAGAAGGACAGTGAGTGGAGGAAGAAAGCGGATCAGGGTTGCCGCTCAGCTTTCTTTGCCTGGAAGCATGAGCGGAGATTGAATTCTGGCGGCCCGCCCTGCAGGCCAGCTAGTAGGCAAGCGTGGGGTTAGGACCAGCCGAGAAGCCCTGTGTCCATCTTCATCAGGACAGGGTCCTGCAGCATGTTTCAGTGTGTTGTGTTGGTCTTTGCTGCAGTCCTGTCATAGAATGGGATTCAGGAAGCTCTTGCAAAATAGATAGGAGGGTTTCTAACTGCTGTACAGATTCCTTTTTTCATGTGATTATGCAAACTATGTTTTACCCTTTTTGGTTTCACAACCCATTTACATTTAAAAATTACTGGGAACCTCAGAGAGCTTTTTTTTGCGTGTAGGTTCTGCCTGTCAGAATTTGCTGTGTTAGAACTGAACACTGAGTAGCGTTTAAAGCACTAGAAAACAGTGACCTTCAGAAAGTGATACCATCTCGAATCAGGGAGCCTTGACTCTTCTGTGTACTTAGGAGGGGAAGAGATGGAAGGGCAGGTAACCTCTCCTTATTATGAGTGCAGCTTTGGCCTCATGGACACTCTGGTAGGGTACTGGGAACCCCCGAGGACATCTGGGCCATCGCACATTGAAAGCTACGCCTGCCTATAACATTTAGGAGTCAAAAGATTCGCTTAACTTTACCTCAAACAGAACATTTCTGCTGGTTCACTTCCCCTTTGTTGTGGCTTTGTTCTTTTTAATTAATCTGACAAGTCTGATGAGCGGAGAATATACAGAATATACAGTTTCCCTGTGAAAACCAAGTCAGCTGGCATAAAAAAGGAGAAATACAATGCTTTTCTTTCCAGGTCGTTCTATAGGTTTTTGTTTTTTTGTTTTTGGGGGTTTTTTTGGTACTGAGGATTAAATGTATGATCTCGCGCTTGCCAGGCAGGCGCTTATGCCGCTGAGCTAAATCTGTGCCCTGTTTTTTTTTAAACATATCTTTTTTTAGGACCTAGCCTTTGTTGACTGTGTGATAATTCTATTTTAATGCTTTACCTGAATTTCATTTAAAAATTTAAGCTTTTCCTTCAGTTTATGTACTCTTAATATATATATACACATATATACATATACACGTACATACATACATATACATATATATGAGTAAGTGTATGCCATTTTGATTGCTAATAGTGCTCAGTAGGGCCTTCCCCTGGCCTTGTGGGCATATTTCACTCTGGTATGATGCAAGAGGGCTCACATCAAAGCAGGCCTTAGAAGAGGCATTCTGGTTAGCATTGAAAGTAGTCCATGTTTTGCAATATTTTTATGTGTATAATTACTATTTTTATTATCTTACGCATTTCTGGTTTTACTGGTCTTGTCAGATGGTCTTGAAAAATGACTAGTTTTGAAGCCACATAAAAAGGTATTTTGTCCAGCAGAAAGGAGACACCAAATATACTATGTGCAATGTGCTTTGTGACATATGTAGTACACTTAGACTAGTAGTTGTTTACCTGATGGTAAATGTTACTATGAAAACATAATATTTACAGATGTAGATAAGATGTGTATATGAACACATGAAATTGACTCAGCTCTTTGTAGATGTGATTACTATTTCGTAATTTCTCATGTATTTTAGATTACATTAGGATTATCACATTAAGACTGAATTACAATCTTTTGGTTCTTAGTCTATGAATTTATATAAAACCTACATCTGACTTTTGGGTCCTGACTTTTCTAGCACTGGTAAAAATAACCTATACATTTAAATGAGGAGAAACTGAAATGGCAAACTTGTCAGAAGGGAAAAATCACTCAATTTAATAGCATGAGTTTACAGGCAGTGTTAATACAATTTTGGCATAAAGCAGGGTGGACGTGTTTCAAACATGAGAAATCGTGGCGTAAAAATTTGATCTGATTTAGATGATCAAAGGTGAAGAGGACTGTTACGTAAAGTTGTAATTAATTGTTATACTTTTATTCATTTGATTATAGACGCTTAGAGGAAATGTCCAACATAAACTCAATCCCAGACCTGGAAAGGTAAGATTGTTTTCTGTTTCTAGTCTAGATTTTATGTTAGTCTGTTGGAGTATGGCAAAGCCTGCTACTTTCATTTTCTCATAGGTGGTGATTTTCAGTGAACCAGATGTTTCTGACAAGTACATTGAAGTTTTCAGTGACATTCAGGATTGCAGTTCTTGGAAGCTCTCTCCAGTGGTCCTCATAAAAGTCGTTAGAGGATGGTAAGAATTCCTGATTTACAGTGGTTCCTGAGTTACGGTGTGTGTTTTTCCTTAATTACCTTTTGGTCTTCTTTATGTATAGTTATTCCTCTATCAGTGTAAAAAGGAGAAAACACTATTAGTGGTGAAGAATTTATATTTGTGTGTTCTTTAAAGAAATTTTTTCAAACTTTTAAAAATTTTTATTTGTGGTATTAGGGCCTTTATATTGAGCTAGATGGCAGCCCATTTTTTAATTTTGAGAGACAACTCTCTAAGTTGGTTAAATTGTCTTGGCTGATTGAAACTTGTGATTCTACTGCCTTACCCTGCCAGAGTGCTGGGATGCAAACCTGTGTTACCACGGCTGGCATCAGTGGGATTTTTATCATGTTTCCATTTATATTTAATCATGTTTCTTTTATAGTGATACATATTCATGGTAGGAGAGCCAGAAAAATGCAGTAAACTTAACTTCTTTTTCCCGTGTAATACTGCTTTGGATTAATTAGAGGCTGTATATATACTTTTGGCTGATGAGTTTTAAATGTTTGGTAAGAATTGCACTATATATTCTAAAAAACGCATTGTAGTCATGTTGATATGCCAGATGTAACTTTATTAATAAAGACATTTTGCTAACATTTTGATGACAGTTCAGAGAAGAACCTAAAATTTACTTTGCAACATTTTGACAAATGAATGTTTTAAGTAAAAAAGCTGATGAAAATATAAACACTCTGACAATTTTTAAAATTGGTTTGCTAGTTTAATTGCCTCTTGGAAATGCACAGGAAGCTGAACAGAGAAAAGCAAATTTAAAAACCCCACTAGTATGCATAAATACTTACCGTTGGTGCCTCTATATACACTCATTTGAAGTAAAGAAAGTGGGGCTCTAGATGTTAATAGTTTTAAAATTTAGTGAGTTGTCATCTCTATTTCATTAAATATATAACACCTTTCATAGTAGATTTTTAGATACTTTAAATATTCAACAAATAGTAAAATCAAATGTGCTTTCATTCATAAATTAGGAGGCTGAAAATTGTACTAAAATTTTTACATAACAATTTAGTTTCTAATAGAAGTGGTTTTTTTTCTTTTGTAACTTTTTTTTGGTATGGGGGATCGAACTTAGGACTTCACACTCTCCAGGGAGGCTCTCACGCTGCCAAGCTAAATCCTCTGGGCCTTACTCTTTGGCAGCTTTTGTTGGCCTTTTTTTTTTTTCTTGCAAGCATAAGCACTTAAGACCAACACTATCATATATTGACAGGATTTCCTTAGTATTTGTCCTTTTGGGGAGAATATTTTCAAAATGCTTTCCATTAACATGCATGTAATCCTTTGTGTCAGCATATCATTGATTTGACTCTAATAAATAAATTAAAATTCCTCTTAGTGATATATTTATACGTGTAGGGAAGAACATACCCGTATATTATATAAACATCCGTTTACTTGGCATATCATCATCTGCAAGTCTCTACTGACCAGCAAGTCCATAGAGCACTGGTTACTCTGTAACATCTCCAGCATTAACCTAAAGACTCTCTAAGATCCTGATACACTTCTTGAATTATCAGAGGGTTAATTCATATCCAACATTGTGTTAGGGAGAATTTTTGCTATTTTAGTTGCCAGAGAATTGGTTACTAAAATATAGTATGTTTATTAACCAGAATATTTGACTAATCAGAATCTTTCTCACCAAAATGGACTAATGCTTTTGCTGTTTTATTATTAGCTGGATTTTATATGAGAAACCAAACTTTGAAGGGCACTCCATCCCCTTAGAAGAAGGCGAATTAGAACTCTCTGGCCTCTGGAGTGCAGAAGATACTTTGGAAAGAAATGAGGAAATAGAATCTGACAAGCCTGTAGTGATTGGTTCAATGAGACATGTGATCCAGGTAGGTGATGATAAATCTGAATTTCTTGTTCATTCAGCAAACATTTATTGGCTGTCAGAAATGATTCTTTGCTAATGATTCTCAGGTTTTTATGTTTTATGAAATAAATGGAAAAATATTTAATACTTTATGGATATATGTTATATAACAAGTACTTATTTACATACCTTAAATGAATTAGAAAAGACATTCTAATTAGTTAGATATTCTGATTGGTTAGCTATTTTTTCTAATTGGTTAGATAAATCAACCAAGGTAAATCTTTTACTTCTAGCCCCCTTCCCATCTTACAGGTGTACTTTACTTAGTAACCTGATTACAGTAAGGTATTTGTTTTGTTCTGTTTTGTTCTTTAGTACTAGAAATTGAACCCGAGGCCTCATGCATGCCAGGCAAGTGCTCCCCCACTGAGCTATTGCGTCCCCCACCCTGTGATGAGTTCTTTGTGGACAGATTTTTTTCCTTTAGTTTTTGGTTGCTGTATGATTTCTCATGATCTTGAATAGTTTACAGATGTTCTATTTTGGAAAGATAATCCAGAAATAATTCAGTTGACATTGGATTCTGAGGTTCTAGTTGGATTTAAAAAATATTATTTGAATATTTCGTGCCACCTTATGGATTAAGATTGCTTAGGTTCTTATTTATTGATGGGAAAGACAATGTCAACATCTTTCCTTGCTCATGAAATGTGTAAAACTGTCTACCCAGGGGAAAATTAAAATCCCAAGTTTATGTAATAAAAATGAACATCGTGAAGTATAAAAGGGAAAAATGGAAGGTTCTGAATGAGAATGAGTAAGAATAACAATGTTTAACAGGAAAACATTAGCTGTTTCATAGTCCACATTTCTGCGTGACTTAAATGATAGTTGGCCTTCTAAATAAATTAGTCTTTTAATAGCTTTAAGTACATGATATGATACAAATGAGATCTGTGGAACCTTTTTTCAAACTGTCTTCATTAATGGAATATTTTCCTTATATTTTTATTCATTGTCCAGATAATATTAGTAGAAAACAGTGTTTAAAAGTATCTGAATCCCATCGTCATGAAATGTCCTCTTCCTTCATTTTTGAGGTCTTTAACCTTTGCTGGTGAGACCTTGAAGTGGTTGAGGAAGACTCCGGCACGGCCATTCCATAGCTTCTCTGTGCTTGGATGAGCACAGGAGCCGCACTCTGTGATCAGGGAGAGTCAGGGTAGGGGGGAGAAGATGTCCAGAGTGCTAAGAACCACAGTTCTGATGATCTTTGCTGGAATGTAACCCTGAGGTGTATGACGAAAACGATGTATCTGCCCCAAATTAATCATAAATGCAAATACGAAAACGATGAAATGGCAGATGACTTGCGAAATGTGCATATTTGAGGCTTATTTTAATCATTTGTAAGAACAAAGGATAATGAACTTTAAATACTTGCTGACACTATTATTATAGATGTATAATATATGTGTATTTTTTTTCAGGATTACAGAATTAGTCAAATTGACTTATTTACAGAGCCAGAAGGGTTAGGACTCCAAAATTCCTACTTTGATGATACTGAAGAAATGCAGGGATTTGGTGTCATGCAGAAGACCTGTTCCATTAGAGTGCACTGGGGAGTGTAAGTGTTTGCTTTCCAATAGAATTTTAATGAAATATTTTTGTGAGGACAGCGAAAGAGAAAGACTTAGAAATACTGCTTCTGATTAACATGCTGTGGTTACTGACTAAAATATGTTACAGGGTGCATAAAAGTCTGATTCTTCTGTACTCATTGCTATGATTCACCTTTCCTATAAATAGTACTGATTTATTAGAGGAGGACAGAGTGCATTTTTAATGTAGGGCTGTTTTACTTATCACGGAGGAACCTGACTCATTCAAGGCTGAGCACTGGATTATGCCTTCATGGTAACTGAAACCATGTGCCCTGATTTCAGGTGGATGGAGGCCAACACACATGGTAATTCCTTTAACATGTTTACACAATGCGGTTCCTAGGATATCAGTTTCACAAATCACAGGAAACTACAACAATATTTGGAAGGAAATGAGTCTATCTCAGAAAAGAGAGAAATTGGAATGAAAAGTGCAGACTGTAGTGTGAAAGAAAGACTGGGGTGCACAGCGCAGGCCTGTGCGAGAGGCCCGCTGAGATGCAGGGAGACCCCCAGAGAGGCTTCATAGTTAGGTGGATCTCCTCCTCTCATCATTTATTTTTGTATACGTTTTCTAATACGCACAATGTATTCGTTCTGTAGTAGTGTGTCACTTACAAATATTTACATATTCGCAGAATGCTCAGAAGTTTTCAGTGATGAGATGAAGTTTGTAGTCAGTCCTGTGCAGTGATCATAGAGTTTCTGCAGTAAATGATGGAGCAGTGCTTAGTCATGTCTTTCTCATTCTCCTGATTAGAATCTTGATTTTTATTGTTCTTATGTTGGAAAAATAATTTGCTTGTACAAAACGTAGGAACTGGGTAGATTAGAGGTCACACAATTCAATTTTAGTTCCAAAGAAATCAGGAACTAAAATCTTTTTGGCAGTGCAGTAGAAAGGATGGTTGCTGAAACTTGAGATTGCAGTAGCAGATGTCCTTAAAGAGCTGAAAGTTTATATCCTGAGGAGAAATTATCCTTGTTCTCTGATATTTCATAGGACATACCAGGAAAACCAATAGAAATTAATGCTGAGCTGGGCATGGTGACATGGGCCTTAGTTATTCAGGAGGCTGAGGCAGGAGGATTGCTTGAGCCTAGTGTTTAAGGTCAGTCTAAGAAACATAGTGAGACCCTGCCTCAAACAAAGTACAACAGAATGTAAAACAAAACAAGATAGGAAATTAAAGCAGTGGATTTCACCTTAGCCCAAGGAAGGGCTTTCTAATGGTCAAAATAGTTGAAATGGAAGCGGGCTCTCCTGTCAGGCAGGATTTCTCATCACAGTGTTGGAGTAGGTGATAAGACAGTGTATCTAGGGCTGTGTTGCAGCACCTGCCTGGCAAGTGTGAGGTCCTGAGTTTGATTTCTGGTACTCCCGCCCCCTCCCAAAACAGAAACTTATCTAGGTTTTGTAGAGAGCGTGAAGTGTGAGTTGGATATCTCCTTTATTTATGACTATTGTTTTACTTACTTGCTCTAAAAATTTTGAAGTACAACACACCTAGAGAAAAGTGCGTGGAAAATAAATGTATAATGCAAGTAATAAGGTGAGTAACTGATTAGATACCCCTTAAGTGAAAACTAGAATGTTAACTCTAACCCTACGAGCATCCTAGAAGCCCTACGTGCCCTTCCCTATACCAGCTCCCTCTTTCCAAAAGCAGCTTCCCAATCTTAGTTCATTTTCTGTTGATGTAATGGAATACCATAGGCTGATAATTTACAAAGAATAAAGATTTGTGAGGCTGGAAGGTGCAGGGTCAGAGCCCCTCGGTAGCAGAGGCTTTCTTGCTGCGGGGGGACCCTTTACAGGCTGTCAGGCAGTGAGAAGGGCGTCTACCAGAGACAGCGTCCAACTGGCCTCTGCGACAGATCCACTGCGGAGATAAGTGTCAATCTGTGAGTGGATTATTTCCTTCCTGAAAACAGCGCTCATGACCTATCGCCTCTTCATGTTCCCACCTGTTTGCACCTCTCACTTGTTAGTAGTGAGCGTTCAATCTTCACATGAGTTTTGGTAGGGACATCTTAACCATAGTACAGTCCTCTCCCAAGGTGAGTAATAGCAGGAAAGACTATAGTGATGGTCTGTCAACGTGCAAAGGAAAAAAAAAGAAAAATCATGCAGAGGCACATTTACTAGGGCAGGACTTGGGATGCAGAGAATAATTTTAACGTGAATATTTCCTTCTGATGTGTATTTTCAAGGACAGTATATACTTTGACTACATCATTTGGTACCCTGTACCTGTAGATCTTTAAAAGCTATGAAATTTCTAAAGATGATACATTTATTTATTTACTTAGGTATCAGAAACCAAGCTTAGGGTCTCGTGCTTGCCAGGCAGGTACTGTGCTACTGAGCTGTATCCCCAGCTCTAAAGATGGTAAATTTGGAAAGAAGAATCAGGAAAGTATTTTTTTTCTTTCCATAGACTCTCTAAAGACATCAAATAACTGGGGACTCTTAACAAAGGTAAACTGAATACAGTGTCTGTGAGATGGCTACATCTTTGTAAATCTAGCAGGAAATCACCTACAGTGTGCTTTTCCAGACACTGGTAATGCAGTAGGCAAACATATAACATGATGCCCTGCTCTCATGGAACTAACTGTCTGGAAGGAAGAGAGAAACACAGATGCATATGTCGTGTATTAGGAGGTAAAGGCCACAAGAAACATAGATTGCAGAGAAGGGCAAACAATGCTGTTTTGTTTGGGGGTGGTCAGTGCTGTTTGAGTTAGGGCCTCTAGGTCCTTACTGTAAGTGGCATGGGAAGTCATTTAGAACCTTGATCTGGTTTGTGTTTAGAAGGACCAGCGGCTGCTGTGTGGGAGCACACTGTGAGGAGTGGAAGCAAAAATCAGTTAAGAGGGTTTCAGTCACATAAGCAAGAGCTGCTAACTGACTGTGATAACGGTGGTAGGAAGTGGTCAGGTTTGGGTGTGTTTTGAAGGTAGAACTGATGCCGTTTGCTCAGAGGTCGTGGGTGGAGTATGTGGGGCTAGGAAATACCCAGAATTTGGATCAAAAGCATGTACTGCTTTTTGATGGAGAAGACTTAGAGGAGCAGGGTAGATGGGAGAATGAAATTAAAGAGTTGGTTTTGGACACTGCAAGTCTGAGTTGCTGATTGTACGTTAACTAAGAGGGAAAAGGAGGTGGAAATGGAGGTGTCCTCACTACAGAAGGTATCAATATCAGGCAGGCACAGTGTGAGGTTCCAAAGCAGGGCTGAAGGGTAGTTGAGGGAAATGACATGTGTGAGCCTAGACACTTTTTTATATTGAGAGACTGGGATGAAAAGAACATATCTAGGCAAAAGAAAATGCTTGAAAGTTTTGCTGCCTTGAATTTTTTCACATTAAAGGAATCCATACACTTTTTTACCTCAAAGCATTACTGTTGAGAAATACCACTTTCCCTAGGAAAGAATGAGCGAGGATGTTGACCATAGATTGTAATCTCAATGCCTGGAAGGTTTCTTGACTCAGGCTTTGGCTATGCTGGAACATCCTGAACTATGTGTGAGCACTGTCTCTCCCTTTGCAGGGAGGTGAGCTCTGCCTCCTCGGTGGTAGTTATACACCTGACCTAGCTTACAATTTATGATGGCCTTGGAGAGGGACAGTCGTCTTTTTTCTGGCTGTTCCTTTATTTTGTCCTTAGGATCATGAGAGCCACCTTGGATGTCAGTTCAAAGTTTGGCCTTCCTGAGCTTGGTTGGTGAGCTCAAGAGGGTTTCTACTTTTATTGATCTCCAGGGAAAGTCTGGGTGGTTACACAGGCCCATTTTGCTGTTGTTGTGTACCAATGCCCTGAGCTGGAATGACATTTGTACTGTGGGTTTTTTTCTTGATCCCATTAGAAAGTGTGTCTCAGGGCCCATGCACCCTGGATTAGGCACATCTACACAGACACAAAACAAGCATAATCTCTGTCACATTCTTTCTTGAGGAAATAAGTGATTCCTAGCTGAACTTCCCTTTCAGATTCTGTTGTGTGTGATTTGCTTATAAACCTTTGTTTCAAGTACTATAGATGGCTAATCTCAGCACCCATCTTCGAGAGGTAAAGGCATATAAATATATATACTCAAATGCAGATTTTATGACTGAGTGGACCAGTTTTGTTTGTTTTATCATTTATTTATTTTTAAGACAGGGTCTCACTTTGTAATTCAGGCTGGCCTTGAAAACTCTGTGGAGTCCATGTTGACTTCAAACTCATGGCAATCCTCCTGCCTCAGCCTCCCAAGTGCTGGGGTTACAGGCATGTGCCACTATGCCTAGCCAAGGGACAGTTTTTTTTACTGCCCAAACATGGATCATTTTTATTATGTACTGGTGGATATATACAGAAGGCCACATATATGTAAGTTATGGAGCCTGATAATGAAACACACCTCCCACAGGCCTACCACTTCGTCTTAAGGATCCAGCTAGAAATAATTTTAGATTTGCTTTCTATTCGAGAGTTGTAATTACTTATTTAAGAAAAAGTGGACAAGACTGATTTTTCTTACTTGAGTCAGAGATCATTTCTAAAGGAATAGTTACACCAATATTTTAAAAACAGGGGGACCTTGGTTTACAAATTCAACTTGTTTTACTATTTGGAGGAAGATGTGGCTGCATTTGTGTTTGTGCAGGGAAGATTGTCAGCCATACAGTTTGTGAATGGAAGCAGAGTTTTGCCCAACACTTTTGTTTGCAAACCAAATTGTTTGAAGCCTTAGTGAGCCAATGCAATACTGTATATATAAGTGGCCATTGTTACTACTTCAGCAACTTTTACATTTGTTGTCAATACATTGTATACATTGGTTTGTTAAGAAAATAAGCTCATGTTTTATATTTGTGTAGTGTAAGAATCATAGTCATATTTTACAGTCAATTGCTCTTTACGATGTATATTGGCAAAAGCTCATCACCTAAGTACACAGGAAAAGGAGAGTACCTTTAGTCACTGAAATTAACATTTTCTTAAGATAATTTCCCCATCTCTTGATAACATCATGAATGCTGTATCTTTTGGAAGAGAATTTAGCAAACAATGAGTCATGCTTTGTGTATGAGTTTTCAAACCCCAGAGTGCATCCAGCATTCATAAATGGCTGTCTGAGTTACTCAACAGGCCCCCAGCACTGACTTGCTAAAGGCAGTACTCCCAAATGTATCACATGTCTAAAGCACTTTTCAAATGTATCCGTTTATGAGTTCAGTTTCTGAAGGATTTCCCCTCTGCCCACATTGCCTGCCTTCTATAAATTTTACATGACTAACACACATGCTTCAAGGAAAGTGAAATTTTAGTATCAGATGAATGAATCCCATTAAAACTCAAACTATAAAAGGAGACACCTAATGAAAAGGTTATTTCAGTAAGCATCATTTCAGAATCTCTGAATAACTTGTTTATGAGTCATATATTTGATTTATGAAAATTAAGCTCATTTATTTGTGAAGGAGTCAGACTTTGAGGGCTTGGACTTGTTAACCTAATAATAGAATTTTGTGCCATTATTTAGGGCAAAAAATCCACATGTAGTTTGCTGGCCACCGTTTTGAGCACCAAAATATGTGTAATACATTCTTAGCTGTCATGCCTTAAACATAAGGAAGATGAAGTCTCCCCTTCGAGTCTCTGTTTTCTTGTGGCTTAGGGGATTGCAGTGGTATTTAAAAGCAAACCTCTTTTTCATCAGTTAATTTATTTGGAAGTGTACAACATTTGTGCAAAAGGGAACACAAAAATATTTTTGTCCTCAATCAAATCTTATTGGTACATTTTAGATGTATGTAATGATCACCTTCATCATGGACAGTTTGTGCCTGTGCATGATGTAACGATTTTTCCCGTCCCTCTGCCCTCCCTTCAACTCCTCCTCCCTCCCTTACATACAGAAGCTTTGTTTCCGTTTTTTCTCCTTTTCTCACTTACTGACTTTCTCCTCCCCTCCCCATGTGAATATTTTCTTCCTGTTTTACAATATGTATTATACATTTTGGTCCTTATTTACGGTTTCAATTTCTCAGAGAAACAATGTAGTATATACATATGTGTGTCCGATTTATTTTACTTAAGAGTGTCATCTCAAGGTGCATCCATTTACCTAGGAACATCTCAGATTTATCCTTTATGACAGAGTAGTACTTCATTGTGGATAAAAAGCTACATCTTCTATCTCCGTTACTCAGTTGATGGGCATTTGAGTGGTTTTCAAACTACTGCTGTAAACACAGGATACGTATATAACTGTGGTATGATGTTTTTAATTCTTTTGGGAAGAGCCCAGGAGGGGAGTAGCCCAGTTAAATGGAACCTTTAGTTCTAGTTTTTCGAGGAATCTCCACACTGATTTCCACAGTGGTTCACCAGGCTGCACTCCCACCAACAGTACAAAAGAGTCTTTTTCCTCTCAGCCCCTCCAGCATTTGTTAGTGGTTGACTTCCTGGTAATAGCCATTCTTCGTGGGCTGAGATGGAATCTCAGTGTTAGGAACATAACAGATCTTAAATGCAGGAGATGAGAGAATACGCAGGTGGAACTGACTCCCAGGTCAAGCCGTGGAACATCCCAGCCCTCAGGACTCCCCTCGTTCCCGCCTCCCCTCAAGGCTCCACATCTCCCTGGACCAGCGCCTGTTGTTCTGACTTCCAGCCCTGTAAATCAGCTTTGGTCTCCCACCTGTGTGCTCACCCGCCCTCCCCGCACTCTGGTGTATGTCTGGACAGTTCCGCAGCAGTCGCTGGTTGTAAATCCCGGTGTAATCAGTGAGTTGTAAGAAGTTGCTGATTTGTCCTGGAAAATCTCTTAATAAAAGCTGTTCCTATAACAGCACCTTAGGCCAAAATTGGGAATAAGAAAAGTAAAGAGGATTCTGCTGCTCAAAGGTTTCGTTTAGAAGCCGGGCACGATGGTGGATGCCTGTGTAATGAGCATCCCTGGAGGCTGAAGCAGGAGGATTACAAATTCATGGCTGTCCTGGGTAGTTTAGCTACTTAGCAAGATTCTGTCTCAAAACAAAAAAGGGCTGGGGATGTAGCTCGGCGCTGACCCTGAGATCAGCCCCCAGAACCATTTATTTATTTTTTCCTCACTTTCACTTGAAAAATATTCTTTTAGAGTCATCCTTCTCTTGGACTGTCTAGGGAACATGACATGGTAAAGTACCTAGCTAGGCATTTTAGCCAAACTTTATTAAATAACTGAACAGTTTACTGATCACCAGGAAGTCTGTATTTACGAAGGGTGTACATTAACACCTCTCACATCACAGTCACTTCTCCAGGGACCTTGCCTTACCAGAGCCCTCCGAGGAACGAAGAAATTTGTAACCTTGCAGTCTTTAGTGACACTTGGAAAGGCCTGATTTTATGTTTCCTGGGTTGTAACAGTTTAGAAGGGTGCAGCTGCTGGTCCCTGGACCAAAGCAGAAGTGGGAGCTGACAGGCCTGGTTGTGATATCACAAAGCCATTAAAATTAGAACTCAAAAACTAAAAAGCTCTGCAGCTTGGCAACAAACAGCCCCATATGCCTTCAAATCCCCAGATTCCAGTGCGGTTAAGTACTAATGCTCTTGGTGGCGAGGCCTAAGTAAAGTTAAGAGTGAGCTGTGGTTGGTGAACTCCCCGTAAAGAAAAAAGAGAAGGACCATCAGAAAAAAAAAAAAAAAAAGATTAGGAGCCTGTTCTGGAGCCAGCCTAGATCAGTCCTGCCTTTGGTACTTACAACTGTATGGCTTGGGGGCAATTTATTAACCTCATTTGTAAAGGAAGGCAATAGTATTGCTTCCTTTTAGCACTGTGTGAGATTTAGATGAAATTTGTGGCCACGTTCCTTGTCAGTTCTAGAGATATGAGAGCTGTTAGGAATTGCTGGCACCGCGGGAAATGATTAGGTAGAGCACCCTTGATCTCTGGATACAAATGGGAAATTATCTTTTAAAACAATCTTGTGGTTTTCCAACTGGGGCCTCCAAATAAATACAGAGCATGAAATTACCTTTTCATTTACTGCAAATAACAGAGATGTTTATAGTCAGAAGGAATTAATAATATGAGTTAAAATGGGTGGGCAAAGCCAGCAAAGGAGAAAAGCAAAAATGTCAGGAGTCCAGCACGGCTTGCTTCTTTGGGTCAACAACGTCCGTCCTGTGAGCCACATCCTCCCCTGCCAGTGGTCGTGGGCACAGAGAGGTGGAAGAACTGAAGGAAATAAGTGACAAGTTCTGTTTCTCTCCTTCCTTGGTGTCGTTTAGATGGCTGATTTATGAGGAGCCTGGATTTCAGGGTGTTCCTTTCATCCTAGAACCTGGGGAATATCCTGACTTACTCTTCTGGAATACAGACACAGCATACATTGGATCCATGCGACCTATGAAAATGGTAAAAATGAAATCAAATTCAATGTTCTTCAAGACTGTGGTTATTTGTTTAAATCAGCTTGATGTTGATAATTCACAGGATGTGATCTTGAAGCCATAGGGCTATTTTTTTTTTAAAAGACAGATTAGGTAGAAATACTAGAAACAATAACTTACTCGCCACTACAGGAAAAAAATGTAGCTAAGAGTGTGTGTTCTCTGGCTTCAAATGCACAGAGCTCAGCCAGTGCTACAAGTGAAGAAAACAAAGGTCTGTGGAGGCAGGAGGACAGTAACATCCCGCTTGTGGGAGATGAGCAGCAGAGAAGGGGCAGAGTTAGGAAAGATGCATGATTTTAAGCCTTCTTTTGGGCTTTTGATACAGGATTTTGCTGTATAAGCTCATATTGGCATCAGATTTGCCTAGTAGCCTGGACTGGCCTCAAACTCAAGATCTTCCTGAAACAGCCTCTAGAAAGTGTTGTGATAAATTTAGTGTTAGCAGGTGTTGCCAGTTGTGGCAGCTGGTCTGTATCTGTAATCCCACCACTTGGGAGGCTGAGGCAGGAGGATGGTGAGGTCAAGACCAGTCTGGATTATAGAGCTAGACCCTGTCTCAAACAGAGTAGGGATGAGGGTATGAGCCAGAGAGAGAAGCTGGGGAAAGGCAGGGTGTTCCGAGCCCAGTTACAGTGGTCGGGGTGGTGACGGGGGCTGGATGTCCAGGTGAACGTTGTTCTCCCAAGTGTTTGTCTTAAGCGGAGCCTGCACACCTCCTGCTTCTTCCTGTGCAGTGGTGGTCTGTCCTGCTGCACTGCAGGTTTGGGAGGAATCGGGCTGCATCTGTTTGGGGACATAGCATACCTCACATCACAGTGGTGCTCACTGCCACACTTGTGGCACGGGTAAGGTCCATTATAAATGTGTGGTTGCAACTTTTGAGTTCCCTTCAGAGCCAGTTTGGGACAAAGTAGGAAGTTAGAGAGTTTGTTTTCTACCCTAATTTTGCACCTCCTGCCAAAGCATTTGGTTTATCAGTATACTTGCTGGTCTTAATGCAGATGACATTAGGTTTTTCTTCTCTGTTTTTTCCTAAAATCTACTTTCAGAGAACAAAGTTCTGTTTGTTTTATGAATATGTGAAAGAATTTCCCAGGTTTTGAAAGCAGTTTGTAATGAATTTTATTTATATATAGTAAGTACCAGATTTACAAACAAGTTCTGTTTCAGAAGGTTTGTAAGTTGGAGTCATAATCATTCATAGGTTCAACAAAGTTAGTCTTATACACCTTTGATACAAATATACAATGAAAAGCATAAAACCAAGCTCACAAAAATAACAGTAAGTGTCTAGCTTTGCCGTGGCATTGTACACTGTGGAGTAAGCACACACCAGCACAGCTGTGAAGTGTCCTGCAGCTACTTCTGCGATTTCTTTGTATGTATACATGTTTTCAATGTGAAGTCTGTATTTTTGAAAGTTCGCAACTCAAATGTTCATAAATCAGGGACTTGCTGTATTTGTTTTTTATAGTACTAGGTATTAAACCCTGAGCCTTCCCCAGGGAGAGCTGCATCCCAGCCTTTTTCTCTGTGAGATGAGGTCTCACTAAGTCACTGTGTTACCCAGCCTGGATTTGAATGTGCAGTTTCCTTGCCTCAGCTTCCAGAGAGGTGGGGTCACAGGTGTACCCCACCACACCCAGATGTAATGATTATAAGCTCTGAAGTTTATAGTATCTGAAAAGGATTACTTTAGAAAAGAGAACTTCCTTGCTATTGTATAAACTCAGGTTTGCTGATCAAATCAGCCACATTCCTTCATAATTAGCGTTCATTGCTGCATGTGAACATCTTTGGCTGCTGTTTTAAGCCATTAAAGATGTATCTACAGCTTCATATATTTTCCCCACTGCTGCTTTTAGCTGTTAACCAGTTTAATATTTTTATGTAATAGTTTTTCTTTGAATTGTTTTTATTATAAAAGATCCTACAAACCAATCCTTGGGATGTTTTATCTAGTAGTTTATTTTCCAGCTTAAAGAATCCTTCAGATTATGTTGTGTGAGCTTCAGTAGGCCTTGGGTTTCCAGATCGAATGCCTCCAGGGTACAGGCAGGAAATGAAAATGGGTGAGGCTACCTGGCATTCAACCAAAGGGAGTGGTGGGAACAGCCAATCCCATCCTGTGCCCGGCTCAGGCTCAGGGACGAGCCCTGTTCAGGATTATCATGCAGAGATTGCAGCCTGTGAGGACTTAGGCCCAGCCATGTCAGGTCTTGGATTGTTTTTCAAGAGAAGTAAGAAATACAGATTTTTTTTTTAATGAGAAATCTTCTGAGTTAAGAAAAAGAAGGGCACACCTCACTGCGCCTGTACATTCACTTACAGATCAGACAGACTGCCTTTGAGTCTGCCTCTAGACCAGCTTCCTCTGGCTTCATTTGTCAGTTGGTAATTTCAGCACCATCTCGCGTACGTTAAGCGGGAATGTAATCACTCTGGGAGGCTCAGTTGCTGCGGGGTATATTACATGCTACAATAGCAATGAAAGAACATTGTTCTTACTACTTTATTTTTGTTTTCAGGGTGGCCGTAAGGTTGAATTCCCTACAGATCCAAAGGTAAAGCGTGTGTGTGTGTGTGTGTGTGTGTGTGTGTGTGTGTGTGTGTGCGCGCGCGCGCACGCGCGTGTGCATGTGTGTACACATATTCAAGAGGACATAGGGGCTGGGGATTTAGCTCAGCAGCATAAGTGCCTGCCTGGCAAGCAGTAGGTTGTGAGTTCAATCGCTTGGTACCCCCCCCCCCCACCAAAAGGTACACACTCATGCATATGTAAACTGTCATTCCCATCCCATCTCTGTGAAGACGATGCTTGTGTGACTCCACACACAAACCTCCGTCACACATCACCGCAGCCTGAGGAAGCGGTCCAGTTTATGTACTCCATCCTTTAGGCTGGAGGAGGATGCTAATGGCACTAAGCATCACTAGCAGTGTGTGTATCCATGGCTCAAGATCTCGTTGTTATTCTGAGTTTATAATGTGTGGTTCTGTTTACTAATTGCAGGGCCTAGTGTTGCTTGCCAGTTAGCCAGGAAGAAACTTTTTCAAGACAAGTTCTTTCTACCCCAAAATGCTTTTCCTGTTATTCCTATTTCCCACATCTGTCTTACCTACTTTAATGTTGTAATTTTTAATTTTTAAAAAAATGCCCATTACTCTTTTTTGGTACCGGGGATGAACTCACAGCATTGCACTTGCCAGGCCCTAGCCCCCAATTTTTAAAAATAACTTCAGGATCTTTTGTTTCCTTAGTTTGTCCTCAGCAAAATTCTAAATATCAGTTCTTAACCGAATAAAATCAGTCAAAGTATCTTTTTTGAACCTTAGCTCTGAACTGTTGCACATCAGGACGTAAAAAGTCTAATTTTTTTCTGTTTTATCAGTAGTTGTTATTTAGTAATGAAATATGACTAGAAAACTTTGCATTCTAGGACTTAATGATATCAAATTATCAATTGAATGTATAGCCGTTGAGGTAGTTCACGTCCTAATGACTGGTGTCCCTCGCTTCTCTTACAGGTAGTTATTTATGAAAAGCCCTCCTTTGAAGGACGATGCATTGAACTAGAAGCAGAACTGTGCAGTGTTGGCACAGAGGGAGGCAAGACAGAGGAAGCCACCGGGGACGCTGGTTTGCCCCTTCTGTCTGTGGGGTCGATGAAAGTACTGAGAGGCATGTAAGTACACAGGGCTGACCGGCAGGGACCCGCAACCAAGTACCAGTGTGTGCCACTTCTCTGCTAGCGACAGCATTTCTGATTCTGTGGCACGGTGAATTTCGATAGTTTGTGACTCAGAGTTGGGAAAACAGACAGTGAGGCTGATCAGCTGACCCTGGAGCATGACCCCTCTGCAGTCATATTAGGGTTATACTCCAAGCTACTGAACTATTAGTTTGCTTTCTAATTCTTATGATCCTTCTGAATTGTATAAATCTTGCACATTTTTCTGTCGATGTAAACACTTTGTAAATAGCCAAAAATTCCTAGTGATTTAACTCTATAAGGACAGTTTATCCATTTTCATTGGCTAAGGTTCAAGTCAGTTGAAACACACGCGCGTGTGCACACGTCACATGCACACGTATATATCTTTTCACCCCTTTACAGAATTCTGATGTCAGGCTGGGGTTACAGCTCAGTGGCACAAGTGTCAGCCTGGCAAGTGCAAGGTCGTGAGTTTAATTCCTGGTAGAAAAAAAAAAAAGCTGATGTGTGCATTTTAGGTTGGGTTTTTTGAACAGGTTCTTCTAAAGGCTAGAGAATTTCAGGAGTATGATTACTTACAAATGCATGTCTGTATACATTTACCCATGAAGCTGCTATGTACGTGGGAAATCCTCTGTCTTCCTCTTCTTTCCCTTGCAGTTGGGTTGCTTACGAGAAGCCTGGGTTCACAGGCCATCAGTATCTGCTAGAAGAAGGAGAATACAAGGACTGGAAAGACTGGGGAGGGTACAGTGCAGAACTTCAGTCTTTACGGCCTGTATTAGGGGTAAGTTAAAGAAGAGCTAATGGCCAGTATGTGGTCTTGTTTGGTCTAATTCAGTGGCTAGCCTTTGAATTTTGAACTTTTTTTCCCAATAGGATTTTTCAAATGCTCACATGATAATGTACAGTGAAAAAAACTTTGGATCCAAAGGTTCCAGTATTGACGTATTAGGAATTGTTGCTAATTTAAACGAGACTGGATATGGAGTGAAGACACAGTCTATTAATGTACTGAGTGGAGTGTAAGTAAAATAACCTAATCGGGATTTTAAACATGGGTTTTGCCTTGATTAGTGTTAAAACTGTTAGTCTGTGACGCAGGATAGGTACTCAGTAAATAAGTATCTCAGTATTAACTCAGGTATTAAATATCTAAACATTAATTCAGTCACTTGATGTTTACTGCCATATCATTTTCATAGCTGCCATAAAATTACTTCTCATGTAATCTTTTGTTTACACGTAATAAATTGTTGGAGTGGGCTTTTGGACATTATGATAGAAATCTACAAATCACTTCCCTGTCATTCTTCATGAAAAGGTCATAAATTTCTTAAGACAGGAATCAAATGACACTAACCTTAGAAACCCGGGGTTTCTAAGGGGGAGAATGCCCCATTAGATTTTTCTTGTGTTCCTACATCTAGCATTTTTCTACTATTGTGGAAAAATTGTAAGTACTGAAATGTACAGTTTCACCAGACTGAGGTGATCACTATTTTTCCCCTAAATAATTAGTTATTAAGGCAATCTAAAACACCACAGAGCTGTAGCATCATTGCAAATGACTTCTGGCTTCTACAGAGAGCCAACTTGTGATTCTAAAATGACATTTTAGAATCCCATAGTAACCCTGAATGTTTGAGATGTATCTACAAATTATAATCGACATTAAGATAATTGTTTTGGCGTACCTGTAGTTAGTTATCGAGTCAAGGTTTTATTAATGGCAAAACAAGTTTTTATTTAAAGATGACCAATCAAGACTCTTTGGGATGCAAGCGATGGTAGGCCGAGCTTTGTTGGCTTACGTCGTAAAAATGGAACTCAGTGGCTTACATGAGTGAAGTCCTAGAGAAGACTCTGCTGCAGCATGGCGGGATAGATGGAATCAACACCGCCATCAGAACTCGGTCTCTGTCTCTTCCCTGGTTTATTTCTGTCTAGGTTCTGTGTTAGGCGGACTCTTTTCATTTGGTTCCCTGGCGCCACATCTGGTGTGTCTTGTTCAGCTCTCTTCTTGCAGTAGGAAAGGCTTCTCTTTCTCTCACAAGGCCAAGCTTGGCTTTGCTTCCCAGTCATGGGTCCTGTGCATGTCTGAACCTGTTACTGTGGACCAGATGGTGGCTGGGCCTGTGTGATGTGCCTGTCCCTAGAGCTGATCTACAGCGTGCATCCGACAGGAGCCACTTAGACATGACTGACACATCACAGATGCCAGATGGAGTAAACAACAGATTCCATTATGGGAAGTTTTGTTTTCCTTTGTCCTGTCTCCTCCCCTCTCCTTTATGGTGCTAGGGATCAAAGCCAGGACCTAAGCATGCTTGGCCATGTATTGTCCCACTAAGCTGCAACCCATCCCCATAATCATTTTAATAATGCAGGCTGGCATGAGTTCTAATTTGTTATAAATGAGAGTGTGTTTAAATGGTTAGGTGAAATTGACCTTGGTTCCATTGAAAGTGTTTTATGTTAGGTTTTTTGATATCATGAGTGACATGGGTTGTTTGAATTAGTCTCGCTTCAACCCTATTGTATTTCATGGGGTTCCCTCCCATAGTAACCCTGAATATTTGAGATGTGTCTACAATGTAATGTACTTTTCTGCTAGTCATGCTCATGTTTTTGTGTAAGCTATTACTTGTACCATCGTGGCAGAATGACAGCAACTTCTGGTCTTCTAGTCTTAGCAGAATCAGCCTTCTGTGGGGTCTTACTCTGGAGCCCAGTCATTTTAGAATCACAAGTTGGCTCTCTAAGGAAGCCAGAAGTCATTTGCAGTGGTGCTACAGCTCTGTGGTGTTTTAGATTGCCTTAATAACTAGTTATTTAGGGGGAAAATAGTGATCACCTCGGTCTGGTGAAATTGTACACTTCAATACTTACCAAGTATGTTGGTTCCTGGAGTCGTAGCAGGGGGGCCAAGGGCTGCTGGGTAGAGTCCCCTCAGGATTTCTGTATTGATGGTTTTAGCTCAGGTAGAATTATTGTGCCTTGAGCTTGTCCCCTTTCCTTTTGACCCAGCCTCTGTTTACTTGAGATCAGTTTTCTTTATACGGTGTTGCTTTTATGGGGGGTTTCTCTATTTAGTTATTTCTGGTTGCATTTCCTCGCTTAAGCCCATTTACTTTTCTGGCTGTAACAGTTCAGTTTTGTTAGGAGAGGAACTGAAAGGCGGTACATGCAAGTACAGACTGCTTCCTTTTATATTCTTTGGCCCTGGAAGGGCTTCTGTACTGATCAGGGCCAGCTGCTTCCTTGTTGTTTGTTATTTGGCATGTTTTATTGAGGTCTATTATATGCAAAGTACTCTATTACGTCCTCAAATAAGTTATAGCATTTATATAAAGTGCAATTATTGCTACAAAAAGAGGTAGAGATTAAATGAGCTGGGAATGACTTGTCCGTCCAAAGGATTAATTTCCAGACTGGATACTGACAAGACTTGAGTCAGAGCTTGCAGAATATGAAGGTTAAGGTGTGCAAAGATGATGGGAAACACTAGCCTATAGAAAGACGGTTTTATTAGTGGTTTTAGTTTGAAGGTAAGTAAGCACTCTAGTTGTTATTTCTTAGCATGGAAATCAGTCAAAAATCATTTTTGAAATTCCTGTTCTATGAAAGTGTCTCCCAGGAGTTCTGCGGGCAATTCCTTGGGCAGTAAACTCATTATCAGCTTGGACACAGAGACCGGCCTCCAGAAAAGATGCTCATGAGACCCCCTGAGATGTGGGTCTTATTGGGATGTTAAAAGAAATCCTTCACTCAGCCCTGTGACTCAGTTTCTGATTCCATGCCATGCTCTTCTTACATGGTAGAAACTGGTATAATTTTTCTAAAACAAAGAGCTGAATGAAACATATTTAGGGTTCAGATTAACAACAGAAATGCTGTTGTTTTAAATTTTCCTCCTGCACCTTCCACAGAAGGGTGGATTCAGCCTGCTGCCCTCAAATTCTAGGCAGGTTTCCCACAGGCTGGGACCTGCTGGTGCTTGCCCTCCACTCCCCCCTGGTCATGCCAGTCTATACCCAGAGAATGCATCTGAACAGGGCCAGAGAGGAGTTTCCTTGTTAAGTCTCGAGCATAGGTGGACATGAGCTATGGATGTCAGGTGGAGCAGATGCTCCCATCTGGGTGTTGGGTCTCTCTGCCGCCCTTAAACCCGTGCAGTTCCTGGAGATCCAGCTGGGCTGCATCTTAGAGGACAGTGCTACTTCAGTGGCATTTTCTTCAGCTGCCGGGGACCACACAGGCTTGTCTGATAACTAATAGTTTTAGTTTTATTGGGAAATACAGTATTTGTACTGTATTAAAAATAAACCCAGACCTGGGAGTGTGGTGCACAGACCGGGGCTGCAGCTCTGTGAGCAGAGCTCGGGTTCTGTCCTCACCATCAGACCAGACCAGAACGGAGGCACAGAGCTTCAGGGCCTGGCTCACTTGCCTCCTTTCCTGTGCAGTATCTGGTCTTTCCGCGTCTCTGCCGTCTCCCCCACCCGTCAGGACTTTGGAGTTCAAACAGAAGCCCTTGGCCTTGTGTTTTCTAACTTGTTCCCACAGAGCCCTGCCCGGGACACTTACTTTACCTAGGACTGCGCTCTCTGTTTGAAAGCCCTGGTCTCTGTGAAGTAGACTGGCCTGCTCTGCAGTCCCTGCCCTTTCAGCAGTGCTCCTGCGCGGCTGCTTTGGCTTTCTGAGATGTGCCTGGCCGAGGGCTGTGTGTGCAGAGGCAGCAGCACAGGTGCCCACAGGCCCCTAAAACCTCAGGTCATGCTGGACCGTGGCCCACTCCCCTTCACCAACTTACATCTGCAAACACACATGCTCACAGAGGTTAAGGGCCCGCTTCAAAGTTAGCAAAAAGTTAATGCCATGCCCACAGGTGGAATAAAGCCTCCTAACCCCCTGGTACATGATGCTAAAGAGTACGTTTTTAAAGTTACTAATGGGACTCTGAAGTGGGGCGGGTGTTCTCTGGAGGAGACTGGTGTCCAGAGCACTTTCTCTGCTCGCACGCCCAGGGGCGAGTGTAGTGTCGGCTGGGAAGCTGTTTACCTAGTGAGGCTTGTGCACTGTTCTTTTCTCCTCAGGGGCTGCTCATTTCCTGGTAACAACTGTACTAGCATTTTTTTTAAATCAGCATTTTTAGATAGGAAAATGTGAATCTGCTTTCGTAGTGAAGAATGCAGACTTTTAGATATGATTTAATAGAAGAGTAAACACAGAAAACTTTATAGGGCAAGGCCTGGTGGGTCACAAAATAGAGAGCCTGGTGAGCCTTAGAAAATACAAAATTTAATCATGTCTTGCCACTGTGTCTCTGCAGACAAACTCCTTCTCATTCACAGCAAACACCAAATAGTTCCTTGTGATGCTTCTTGTTCCTCTGTAACTTTGAAAGCAGGGAATTTGTGTTTTTAGCTTTGTGTTCAGAGTGCCTGTCTAGTTCCTGGCACGTGACAAATAGTCCATGTTTACTGAATGGATAAATGAATTAACTTTCTTGTGGCTTTAGATTTCTCCATCCGTAAAGTATGCATGTGAGTACCTCCTTTTTGTAAGTGTGATTTAATGTATGTAAGCATTTGGAAAGGTCCAAATACAATACATACATAGACATTATTCCTTTAAACTCTTGAGAGTCATCAGAACAAGGATTCACTGGGTAGACCCTTGAATATCTCTTGAGTAAAACAGAACTGAAAACCTTTTTCGCCTCAAAGACTCTATGTGGATAGGAGGTAAAGTCAGTAAGTTAGTTTTGGTTGACTTTCTTTGCTGGTGTAGATCACTAAAAGGATAATAAATGAACACACTGCAGACAGATTTGGGTTTTTTTTGTTTGTTTTTTGTTTTTTTTATCGGTACCGGGGATCAAACTCATGATTGCCTGCTTTCAAGGCAGGCGCTTAGGCCACTGAGCTAAGTCCCCAGCCCCGACAGATTTGTTTATAATACTTCTGTCAGTTGGTTCACTCCTGCATATTATGCAATTGTGTTATTTTGGAAATGCTATTTGGCACAAAATTTTAGATTTTTTTTTTTTTGGTCATTGGTGCTGGGCACTGAACTGAGAGCCGAGCTATATCCCATGCCTGTTTTTGAGAAAAGGTCTTACTAAATTACACAGGTTGACCTCAAATTTAGGATCCTTCTGCCTTGGGTTGTGTCACTGTTCCCAGTTACTTGTCTTTTTTAAGCATTTAACTTTTTTTTCAGCATTGTTTGTTGTATAAGAGAAAACTGCTTTCTGCAAAGATCTTTATGCAAAAAGAATTCTTGCTTACTGAAAAGAACTAGGTTCTTCTTGAAAGTCGTTTGTTTCTCTGGAATAGAATGAGGAGGAAAAAAAACAAAATCAGAAATAATCCTGTTGGAGTTTCATCAGGGAATAGGGGTTTGATAAATAAGAACACCAAAATATTCATGTAAAGATACTTTTTGCCTTTTTTGTTTTTTGAAACAGGGGCCTCATTACGTTGCCCAGGCTGGTCTTGAACTCCGGGCTCACAGGATTCTCCCACCGTGCTTCCCAGTGTCTGGGACACAGGTGTTCACGCCGCCCTTGCTTTGCTTACCACTGGGATTGTCCTATGCACAATCCATTGCCCAAAGATTAATGGAAAGTAGAAATAAAAAAATTCCTGATGAGTAAAGCAAATGAAAGTTAGCGTACGATACATATTTATCCAGATGTGTCATAGTTTTCTGTGTAAAACATGAATTGTAACCAATGTGTCTGTTTCTTTAGATGGGTGGCCTATGAAAATCCTGACTTCACAGGAGAACAGTATATTCTCGATAAAGGCTTTTACACCAGTTTTGAGGACTGGGGAGGCAGAAATTGTAAGATCTCTTCTGTCCAACCCATATGTTTGGTAAGGAGTTACATTGTATAAGAATATTTAACTGAATTTTGGATTTTTTGAATTGTGCTTCTGGTTCATGTAATATTAATTGCTACAGAAAATATTCTAAGGTTACTTTAGCAGTAATTACTAATGGTCTGAAGAAAAGCCTTTTTTTAACATGTGTGCTCATTTTTCTCTTTCTTTTAAAATTTTATAGGATTCTTTTGCTGGCCCCAGGAGACAAAATCAGGTAACTTTATAAATACTCTTTATTTTCTGTTATTATGGACTTTCCATTGAAAAGGTGAACCTAATTAAAAAATGTTAAAACATTTGAGACATTTTTGTTAGTTTTTGTCATTTTTATGCCTGAAAACATAGTTGTTTTTGGTGCTAGGGATTAAATTTATGGCTTTGCACATACTGTTGTATTCTTAAAATAAGACTTTTTGGGTTCGGGAGTTTTTTGTTTGGTTTTCTGTTTTTTGAGACAGAGTATTACTACCTAGCTCAGGCTGGCCTTGAACTTACTATGTAGCCTGAGCTGGCTTCAGACTCCTGTTAATCTTTCTGCTCAGCCCAAATGCTGAGATTACAGGCATGTGGCACCACGCCTGGTAAAAATAAAATCAATTAACTTCAATACTCGATAGCACTGACTTATATCTAGATTATTTCTTATCAATTACTCTTGTATTATATACAGTTGAGTTTATCATTACATCAAATAAATTTACACCAGTATTTCAAACAACATATAGTTATTGTGATACAGAGTAAAATGAATCTTCCTATCTGCTGGGTCTACATTAGACAAATATTTTATATGGTTCACTCAAGCCTTTTGGTTGCTGAGTCTACAGCAGTATTAATCTGCAGTATGTAGGCCTTTTAATGGAAATGTTCAGACGGCCGTAATTGTAGTCATAAACAACACTGTAGCCTTTACTGGCAGATGCATGATTCTAATAAGTCAGCAAGTATCTTCTATAAGTTTCTAGAATGTAGTTTATTGTTAATGTTAGAACTGATGAACAATTACTCTTGGCCACAATAAAGCTTTAACAAGCCTCACAGCTTGTTAACAACAGGGAGTTCTATAGAAAGTTGTCTCTGTCGTTGGGTCCTCCTTTGATGTCTCTGAATGAAACAGTCATGAACAGTGGAGTAAATACGCTTCTAATTATCATTAATGTCAAAGTAGAAAATTATAAAATCCATACCAGTTTACTATAACAAGAGTTAGCAGGTCATGTTTGGTTTCTCATTGCAAAAGCTGAATGCATTGCTGTGTTTAGGAAAATAATTTTATGTTTCTTTTTACTTTGCAAAGATTCACTTGTTTTCGGAGCCACAGTTTCAAGGTCACAGTCTAAGTTTTGAAGAGACAACAAGTCACATTGATGATTCATTTTCTACCAAGTCTTGCAGAGTTTTAGGAGGCAGGTAGGCAAAACAAGGCAGTGTCAGAGCCAGCCTGTGCGCGGGACAGCATTTACCCATCAGCAAGTGACTCGTGGAGCAAAGCCAGGGTGGGCTGGGAGGGCGGGATCAGGAGTCATGCTGGGTGCCATAGAAAACCTGAACCAGGAACAGAGCTCAGAGCCATGCTAAAAGCAGTTAGTTTACAGAAGCTTCATTAGAGAGGGGAGAGGCTAACAAGTCAGTGAAATGTAGGAGGCCCGGGGAGAAGTTTGCCCAAAAGGTGGTGAGGAATGAAGTCATAATGGTGGTACTTTCAAATATGTAACTGCTCCTGATCTGACAGTACCAGCACTGCAGAGTGGCAGAGTTCACATACACAGATCAGTGGAGTTTCAGTTTCGTAGCAGCCCTCCACTCCAGCTCAGCTGCCCTTTGTCCTCCAGTCTGCTTCATTTATTACTACCACACACGTACATTTTTTTATTGTTCATCTTAGTTCACTAGAGTATAAATCTGAAGACTGTGGATCCCTGTTCTCTGTCACTTCTCTAACAGAAAGATACCTCCCATGCAATTAATCCTCAGTGAGCACCTGTGAAATACAAGGAATGAAAGGAAACCACCCACAGGGTCCATCTAGGGACGCCGGGCACATCATCATTTTACAGGTCATGCTGAGCCCTGATAGCCGAGTGACTTCTTAAGTCACTGTGGCATTGTGACTCCTGGCCCGGTGCAGAGAGGCATCGGAAATGAGGGCAAAGAGAAGCGGAGGAGACAGTCCCGAGTGCTGAGTAGTAGGGGTGCTGAGGGACCCTTTCCCGGAGAAAGGACTGCGGGCCGGAGGGGACGTTGGCAGGAGTGTCGTGGCGGGTTAGGAGATGGGAAAGCAGAAGCAGTCGTGCCATGGAGAGGGAAGCTTATTAAATGATTTGTGGATATTAATTATTCATGAGGTGATACGCATTAAATATATCCAGGTATTGTTGAAGAATGAGCAGTTAGCCACAAGCCTTATTTTCTTGCCACAAAATAAAAATTCCACTAAAGTCAGAATAGGAATACTCAAATTTCTGTGTATATGGCTTTTCCTATTGTAGCTGGGTTGCCTATGATGGAGAAAATTTCTCTGGTAACCAGTATGTGTTGGAAGAAGGTCACTATCCGTGTCTTTCTGCGATGGGATGCTTGCCTGGAGCCACTTTCCGATCTCTCCGGTTTATAGATGCTGTGAGTATGCCAGTGTGGACATTGTGTTACAGAAATACAAGGTTCACAGAGTTGGTGGTCAGAGCAAGAAACCAGTAGAGAGAAGTTAGGGATTAAAGTTAGGGGCGGGGGAGAGGCGGATGTGGAGTTTTCCATCTTGTAACATTTGGTCTCTGTTAGATGTGTAACATGTACCATATGCTTCCTGTCAGACTGCGGGCACAGGGTATTCAGTCAGTCGTGCCCTGGGGAGATAAATGCTTAGTTCAAGGCCGCTTCCTTGTGTTTTTCATTTTTCCTTCCTCCCAGTTGCTACCTGATCTGCACAATATTTCCATTCCCTCCTTCCACAGTATTCGCCCTACTATGTTTTTGCCATTATACTACGTGTGTACTTAACATTCAGAAATGTTAAGAGGTGTCCACTTTGCTGTATGTACATATATTTTACTGGCTTTAACTATAACCCTTTGCCCCTGGTCAGTCCTCATATGCACATTGGTGTGGACCTGGGTGGGAGTGCCTCGAACTGTCCAGAGGTAGGAGGCAGGGCTTCATGTGGCTGGCGGTTTCATTCTGGCTGCTGTGCCTGCGTTAGACGGCTCCTGGAGGACCAGGTGGACTCCTGCTTCGCATATTGTTGCCGTGACTGGACTCTCAGGTTTGATCTGTTTGAGGGATGGGTAGAAACTATCGTCTCACTGCTGGGGTGATTTGTAACCTCACTTTAGGGAAGTAGGCGTCTCATACACTTGTCACTTGGGTTTTCTGTTTGTTTTCTATTCTTTGCCCAACTCCTAAGTCAGTTTCCTGTATCTTTTGTTATTACAGGTTTGCTGAAATTCCGTGTAGTTCTTTAGTCTTTTGTTAGTGTTTTAGATTTGTAATTAGATAACTTGTCTCAGGTTATCCCCTATGTGGCAGTCTAGGTTACAGCACCTCCTTTTGGACAGAAATCTTTCATTATAATGCAGTCAAAGTAATATTTGGTAAATAAAATTGAAGATAATATTTAGATATTTAAGTGTGTCTGTAATTTCAGAAATTTTAAATTGCTTTCTGTAGCTTATCTCATAAAAATGTTTTTTTGAGACATGGTGTCCCTGTGTGGTTCAGGCTGGTCTTGGACTCACTGTGTAGGCCAGGCTGGCCTCACACTTGTGGTTCTCCTCCTGCATCAGCCTTCCGAGTGCTGAGTACCACCACATCCAGCATAAAAAGCTTTAAACATAGTTGGCAGTCTCAAAGGTAGGAGGAACAAGTGCGTTGGCTTTATGTTATCCCTGCCGTTTTATTAAATAATAAAACACTATTGAGACTGAGAAATACTGAACAACATGGGAGGATTCACTACCTTAAAAGTAATTGAAACAAGACTTTTTGATAGCTAACCTGCCTAGAATTGTAAAAGCTACCTATGCCAAACCCCCAACTAGAAATTGACATATATACTTATATTGTTCAGATACTTACGAGTTTTGATTATTGAAGAAATGGAGATTTTATTCACATTAAGACTGTGTGTTATGGTGGGCCTTCTGCATGCTATGCAAGCGCTTCCCCTTAAGTTATACCTCTAGCCCTGTACATTCTTAATTGGAATTTAGTATTTCAAAAAAGTTTTTTTTGATATGTGTCTTGGTTACTTTTCTCTCATTGCTGAGACAAGATATCTGACACCCAAAATGAAGGAAAGTTTTATTTAGCTTACAGTTTTGGGAGGTTTCAGCTATACGCAGCTGGTTCCAAGGCAGGGTGGGGTGGCTAAGTGTCAGCTGTTCATGGCAGCTGCAAGTGACAAGACTAAAAGGGGCCAAAGGGAAAAGCATGCTTCCTTCCTCCCTCACACTGTATGCTGCTGGCTTCCCGCCCTGGGCCGGTGCAGCACTCACGCCGCCACACCCAGCAAAGACAATGAACCAATCACAGATGCCAGACTCAGCCACCTCCATGCCTGCATGAAGCTCTAGGGGGACATCCAGTCCAACCATAACAGTACTCGTGTTTAACACATTTTCGGCCTGCCGTCTCAGGACAGTGCAGTACTAGCTCTGCAGAGTAATACTACTCCTGCCGTTTTTGTTCCTGCCTCTCTGTGTGCTTGTGTAACCCAATTCCTAGACCACACAGCCCCACCCCCACCTCTGTCCTCCCTACATATCAGGACGGCCATGACATGCCACAGGCCCTTGTCATAAACTCTTAGCAGGTTGGGAATAACTGTAATGCCCTTGTACTTTTGGCTGAATCATTTATAATTTTAGGAGTAGTATCTTTAGAGCTTAGTCTAAGGTAGAAGGGTCTGCAATTTGAAAACAAGCATAAGCTGGCAACTTTTCATTTTTCTGAAAATCAGTGGGTTTGTGTGCTGTTGTCCTCTTTAAAATGACTGACAGTTTGACCACGGGGCTTGTACCCTGGTTGTATTTTTTCTCCTTTGATAATGACTTCTCTAATGTTTGGGAGCATGAATTCACAGAATTCTGTCTTGCTGGCAGTTAAAACAGGAAAGGAAAACACTAAGAAAAATGTGCAGCAGGCAGGCTGTGAGCAGGCAGTGCCACTCGGCCTGCATCTTCACCGTATGTCGGGGCTCTCCAGCCCGCCTCGCCCTCCCAAGAAGTCTGAGGAAAAGATAAATTCCAGGGAAAGCGCCGCGTTTCACACTTACAGCATTCCGCCGGCCGGCCGGGATGTTCTTTCGGCTGCTTTACAACCGGCCGACCTTAACCTGCCTTCACACACAGCCGAGAGACTTCCTGCACCTCCGCCCTTCCACGCTTTGGCTTTAGAGCTCAGAAACAGACTTCTTGGGAGAGGGGTTTATGAACAAGCACATCCGTGGGTCTTGTGTTTCATCCACTGCTAGATGAGGTTCGCATAAGCTTTGAATTATGAACAGATGAGTATCATTATTTTTGTCCCCATACAGGAATTTTCTGAGCCAACAATAATTCTTTTTGAAAGAGAAAACTTCAAAGGAAAGAAGATTGAACTTAATGCAGAAACAGTTAATCTCCGATCCTTGGGATTCAACACACAGATACGCTCTGTTCGGGTTATTGGTGGCATGTAAGTGATCCAATAAGAAACTTTTTTTTGAGACAGTAGTTTAGATCGGCCTTCAACTCACTTTGTATTGTAGGCTGGTCTTACACTCACTGCGATCTGTTGGGATTACATGTGTGTACCACCGTGCCTGGCTAAAATATTTTTTAAAGAGACAGAGCACTGCTGGGTTGCCGAAGCTGGCCTAAACTCATGGCTTGAGTCATCCTCCTGCCTCAGCTTCTCTAGAAAGCTGGGACTCCAGCTGCCTGTCACCACACAGGCCAAAAAGGATAATCTTAAAAATTAAGCTTTTAAAAGTCTTATTTTTAATTGACAAATGATAATTATATTTATAGGTTAAATGTAATGTGACATTCACAATATGAAAGGGTCAATCTGGGGTAATTAACATATCCATTATTTCACACATTTTTCATTTCTTTGTGGTAACAGTATAAAAATCCTCTCCTTTAGCTATTTTGACATAAACATTATGCGCTGTGGCCACCTTCCTGGGAACTGAACAGAACGCAGTCCTGTGTAACTGTAACTTTGTACCCACCGCCCAGCCTTGCCCCGCCTCCTGTGTATTTCCCTGACACCTCTCGTAACCACCTTTCTGCTTTCTTCTTCTCCTTGGAGTTCAGTTAGATTTCATTGTGTCAGATCACACGGATTTGTCTCTCTGTACCTGACCTGGAAAGTCCTGCCCGATTTCTCTGCCCTACATTACCATGTAGAACTGACACGTAACACCTCATTCTGTGTGAGGGTTAATAACTCCACACCTGCACAGAACACTTTCCTCGGTGCAAAAAGCCATGTGGAAAGCATCTTTCATCTCCTTACAGTAAGGCTTTGTCATTCATACTTCTTAGAGAACCTAGGGGCATGCTCTGCACATGGGCTCAGCTCAGCAAATTTATCGAGCACTCCTTCTTAGCAACAAAGAGGACCTGGTTTTTCTTGGCCCTTTGAGAGACTACGTCTTGTCTTTTAATTTTTTTAAAAAAGCAAACTCAGATACACATAATTTCAAAAAAATAACAGTAAAACATAATCACTACTTGGTATGTTCCATATACATATTGTTACATAAGATATATAACATACAGTATACATTTTGTTATCTTAGAAGTAGTTGTTCAAATTACAAAATCAAAGCATCAGAAATGAACAGACAATCCAACAGTGACAGCACACTGTTCTGAGACCAGCCTTGTCATTTGGGAGCTACACTTTTCTTTTCATTGTGAGGGACTGATGGAAGTACGCAAATTAATTAAGAGGCACTTTGGGAAGGTTTAAAACTTTCACTTTGACATTGGGTAGGATATAAAAATGAGTAAGTACCATCAATGTAGTATTTTTATGAAAATATTTTTGCTTTTCATAAAACAACAGGTGTGGTCATTCTGTAAGCATCATATATTGGAGCAGACCCTTGTTACTTAAAATACACTTAAATATTAAGCTAGTAGGATTACGGGGCTACCTTTTTCTGCAGATTTAGTGAAAACTTTGTAAGATGGCTAAAACGAGAACAGCATGGCATTCCAGGATTAAAAGTGGAGGACATTCTTCCTTGGTGTGATGTGTCAGCAGGAGGCAGGTTACGGATTGGGATGTGCAGTGCCAGCTGGGGTGGAAGGAGCCCGAATAGCTTTAGTATTTTTTCTGGAGTTGGGGGGAGATTACTTTTTTCAACAAAAGTTTGCTAGGTTTTAATTCTCAGCACATACCAGCATCACACGTTAAGGGCTTTGCAAGTCTGATCCACGTGGACTCAGAAGTTAAAGTTAGTATGACTCGTAAACTGAGGTGGTTTTACGAACAGCTCTCAGGGAGGACTGGGGAGTCCTAGAAGACTGTATTGCATTGTTTTATTGAAGGAAAAAGCCTATCTTTAAGATTGGGTCTTTTTAGTATAATACTTATGTGCTATTAATTTTATTACTTGTCAAGAAATGACCATGGTTGGTCCTCTTAGAAAAGTTCTATTTCCCTTCAGTAAAATATGAGGTTCAGTCAGAAATTAAAAGTACCCTGAAAAGGTAATTAAGGGCCGTTGTCACATGGAAATTGCTGCCTCTTAGAGTTGTCTTAGTTACTTTTCTCCTCGCTGTGGCAAAGTAACTGACACCCAAAGTTAAAGGATGAAAGGTTTATTTTTTAGCTTTCAGTTTGTAGAGGTTTCAGTTCATAATCGGCTGGCTCCAGGCAGGATGGCACATTGAGCGGCGCAACAGTTCTTGGCAGTGGATAGAAAAAGCAAGAGACCAGACTGTCTCTGTGGCTTGCTCTGTGTGCAGTGCACCTGCCCTAGGGCTTAATGCCGGCCCAGCACTGCCGCTCAGTCACACACTCCAGATTCAGCCTCCTCCAAAAAAGCCCTCTGACCGTATGAGGCTTTGCGGGGACAGCTAGACGCAAACCATAACACTCAATCTTGCGTATTTTTTCCAGATGGGTTTCTTACGAATATGGCAACTATAGGGGCCGACAGTTCCTGTTGTCACCAGCAGAAATACCTAACTGGTATGAATTCACTGGCTGTAATCAAATAGGTTCTCTCAGACCTTTTGTTCAGGTATGTTTTTCTTTATGCTGTGAATAGATTTTTCTCAAAAATTTTTTTTCTGGTAAATGCAATATCACTTTTCAATTTAAAGTGTGAAACTAGCCCCCGACCTTCAGATACGTGGTACCAAGGTATATGGCTATTTTAGAAATGCTGTCAAACCCAATATGAAACATAATCTGTCCCAGGCACTTTAAAATTTGTCACTCTTACAATGGAGAAAATCCTACAACCCTGGAGACTCTGGGATTGCATGTCCCTGAACCGTAACTGACTTTGGAAGCTCCCAGGAGCAATGCTGTTCAGTGCTTCTGATGGCACACCTTGTATTTGACTGTAGGTGGGGCTTTTGTCTTCTAGAAACGAATTTATTTCAGACTTCGAAACAAAGCGACAGGGTTGTTCATGTCAACCAACGGGAACTTGGAGGATCTGAAGCTCCTTAGAATACAGGTCATGGAAGATGTTGGTGCTGATGACCAGATTTGGATTTATCAAGAAGGATGCATCAAATGCAGGGTGAGCTTTTAAGGTTCGATGGGGTCTCTGATACGTTTGCCAGGAGGAGACTCATCCTTACCGTGCTTTTGGGCTTTCCTTACAGAGATGCTATTTCATAAGTCCTGGCACTGTTCAGAGCCAGTCTTAGGAACTTCAGATGGGCGGGCAGCGAATCCAGCGTTTGAACACCACGCTTGTTTTCTCTTTAGGAAAATGACAGCACAGGGTGTAGGGTAAGGAGGCGCCCCAGGAAACCCCCCGTGATCCGCTGCCAAGGGGCTCACCGCACCCTCACATTACTCCTGCCTTCACGGACTTGAAAAGCTGAGTGCAGTCAGGTTTTATAAGAGAAGCTCATGCTTCTGTTGTAGGGATCTTTTTTCCTAGACTTTATGGGCTTCACTGTTTGTGCCTGATATTTAAAAACGTGGTACTGCCTGAGTCAGCAGAAGGCTGCGTGCTTGAGGGAGACTCGCCCCTGTGTAAACAGAGTGCTGTTCAGATGTGCGCACATGAAAGAGAGAGTGGGGACTGCGGCAGCGACGTGGGACGTGGGACGTGGGAGCGCAGCCGGCAGCCGGCAGCCGGCCTGGCATGCCCTGGTCATGCCCTGCCCGCAAGACCGTGCGGATGCTTATAACACAGTGATGTCACTTAACATTTGAGTTTGTAGCCCGTGAGGAAAAACGAAATTTCATACATGATCACAATGGTTTTGTCTCTCATAGAACAGTACCACTTTAATTTTTGTAGTGTTAAGCAAAAACCCAAGGCCTCGAATGGGTTAGAGAAACATTCTACTACTGACCTACACCCACCCAGGGTTTTTGAGCTGGGGTCTCACTTGCACTCCTGATGTTGCCTATGCTGTTCGCAATCTTGTAATCCTCCTGTGGGCAGGGAGTCTAAGTACCATGCCTGGCAGATCAGTGTACTTTTTAATACATTTTAAAAAAATAGCATTATGTGTTACTGGCATGTGAGCATATGATTGCTATGTACTGTTAAACAGAGTCTACCAAAAAATGTTATGCACTTCAGGAAAACTTGTATAAATATTTTAATACTCAATGTATTGACACATAATGAGATTAATACAAGTTACCTTTGGCTTCTGCAGTTATAAGCGGTGCTCAAGGAGGTGGCCATCAGCTTCCAGACATTTAGTAGTACAGTGAACTCTGCTTGGGTGACCTTGGTCATGGAGATCCCTGCATGTGCATTTTCAGTTTGTCTCCTAAGGGCCGGCGGTGTAGTGGGGTTTCTGTGATGTGACATCCTCTGGGTCCCCCATATGAGGGTAACACCATCTGTTGAAAAGACATTACACTATTTTTCTTTTCCTGAAGCGTGTAAACACTTGTTTGGCAGACTCTATATATTAAAGGTAGGTTCCCTCTAGGGAAGAATTCTAAGTTTCTGTGTGCTAAAACATGCGCTGGTGAGCTTTATTTTCTTTTTATAGCCAAAGAACACGCCTACTTAAAAAATCTGAGATGTTTCTCAGAAGGAAGGACAAAAGCAGCTACTACACATGGCCTCAAGCGTTACAGTGCTGGGGCACCCTGTGTGCATCAGAACTGCAGTCACAGCCCAGGGCTCAGGCCGTGTTTCTGGAGGCCACGCTGCGTGAGCAGCCTCAGGTGTTGGCGTTTCTGCTAGGAAAAGTCTACGATGAGCAGTTTTCATGTCCTAAACTGGATAGTAATTCAGAAACTCTTGCAAAGGGCACAAGTCTTACGGGGACAAGAAGGGACAACTTTCTGTCACTCATGTTATCTGAAATAAAGATAAAAATACCTGTTGTTCAGGGCTAGTGATTTTGTCTAAAAGCTGAAATGCCTCCTGGAACAGATGAAGCCAAGAAAAGAAACTGAGATAACTTTAAAAACCATTTAATTAGAGGAGAACACTTACTGTAAGGCCCAAGTACCCATCTTTTCCAAGACACTTTGCTTTTTCTCCAAGCAGATAGCAGAAGACTGCTGCCTGACTATCGTGGGCAGCCTCGTCACATCAGGCTCCAAGCTGGGCCTGTCGCTTGACCAGAATGTCGACAGCCAGTTCTGGTGCATGAAGTCAGATGGCAGGATCTACAGCAAACTGAAGCCAAACCTAGTTTTGGATATCAAAGGTACGATCGTTTCTCTACCTGTGAGGTGCTTTTCCCCTGTGACCGTAGGGCTTAACCTAGAGGCTCATGTAGACATGGAGAGTGCTGGTCACTGACCTCCATCCTCGCTAGTCCTTTTTGCGACACGATCTTGTTAATAAGTACCAGGCTGGCCTTGAACTTGAGATCTTCCTCAGTTCACAGAGTAGCTAAGATTACAGGTGTCCACCACCATGACCAGCTATGATATATGATATGCCTTTCTTTAGTGAAGGAAAAAAATTTCAACTTTTGAAACTCGAAGGTACTATTAATATAGTCATACCTCAGTCCACAAACTTAACTGGACAAGAACTAAATCAATTCTGTGATTAGGTTCCATACTGATCTGATGGAGAAATTTGATTCGATTCTTAAATCAGGGCTCTTGGCCAAGGCTGTCATTAAAAATTAAGACATAAAGGTGAGAACTAGCTGTAGCCTGGTTTTTAAAACTTCAAGTGACGCCTGAACATTTTATCCATGACCGGGTACGACTTGGTGGCCCAGGCCTTTATTTTTATAACTTTGTGGTCTGGAAGCTGCTCATTCTCTTATGAGGGTTTTCAAAATCCCCAGGGAAGGCAAAGAAATGTGATAAAATTGGTAAAGTAGAACTTTTGAGAAAACATTAGGGTAGTCCCCAAAATAAGGCTAAGCCCACCTTCATGTTTCTTGTAAGTATAGATGCAACCAGCTTCCTCTGTCCCGGGTTGAGGCCACCGAAATCTTGGGACAGCGTATTTCTTTTCTCTCAGTGGAATCCGCCAGGTACCACATGGTAGGCTCCATGCTAGATACTTGTGTGCCAAGGTGAATGCAGGGGGCCGCTTCCCTGACCTCAGCCTCTGCTGAGACTCCTCTGTGGGATTCACTTTAACTCTGCAAAGCTCCTTCCTAAAAGATTTTATGCCTTAGTCTGCGGCTCCTGAGAGAGATGAGTGATCTGTATGTTAACACACAGCCAGCATTCAGGGCCACAGCCACTTTCTTGTTCCACTGAACTTGAGTTCCTCAGAACGTGGGAGAAGGGTGCCACCTTCTGGACACGAGCGAACAGGGTTGCCCAGCCTGTGTCCCGTGCCAGGGAAACGTGAGCACATTTCAGGCACTGCGTAGGACCGCGTGGTTTTCATTAGTGACAACCGATTTGTTACCTGTTGAAACCGCTGTAAGCTTTACTAGCCAGGAGCTGGCACCCACCCGCGATCCCAGCATGCAGGAGGCTGAGGAGTTGTCTGCTCTGAGTTTGAGCTCAGCCTGAGCTACTTTAAAGAGACTGTCTCAAAAAGCCAAAAGAAGATGTCACACAATTCATTAGCTCTAGTGTCTGTTTTCTTTTGGGGCTTGGGGAAGGGGTTGTTTTGGTAGACATTCGTGTATTTTTTGACAACAGTGGGAGCTGACTCATGCCCACTTTTTAAAAAACATCTCAGGATTGTATTATAAGCCAGTGAATCAGATCACTGTGTAAATCAGATACTAACATGGGCCCAACTGAAAAGATAACTTCCAAGCAGTATTAGGAACTGTTGAAGGGAATGCTAGTGGTTTCTTTTAAATAGAGTGCAAAATTTGCTCTGAATTACTCTTCAGTCCCAAGTGCCAAGAACTCAGAAGTAACCAGCTCTGTTCTGCTGGACTTCAGAATACACGGGTGACACAGAGAAGACAGGACAGTCAGTTAAGAGACAAGCAGTAATAAGCTCACCCTTTTAAGACCCCAGACTTTAAAGGAAGGCTGGCCGTGTCTTAAAAGCCAAGTAGGTCGTATCGTCCTTCCTGTCTTCAAATACACATCAGGAAAGCAGGGTGCGCGCCTCAGCTTTAGTCACTTGTACTTTCCTGCTGCCCGCACTATCAGATAGTCCAGCAGAAACCTTATCTAAGAAAAGGAAGAGTCTGAAATGATTAAATTCCTCCCAAAGGCAAAAGAATGAATCAGATTCTTTGAGATGTTTCCAGTCTTCAGGTTCTATTAGGACTGATCATATATATACTATACTAGCTGTATAGAGTTTCATACTGACTGTAATCCTGAAGATGATTGTACCTCAGCACTTTGTGAAGTCTCAGGGGGGGACGCAGTGTTGCAGGGCGCAGTATATAGTGTGGGTCTGCTGGTAGAGGGACCTTGTCTTCCCCCCGCAAATGTGCGTGTAGAAGGCCCCAGGCTGCCCTTGCACTCCACACGTTTCAGCCATAAGGAAACATCGCAAGGCATGATTTCCTTCTCCAGTTACCGAGGTTCTTAAGTCAGGACTTTTGCTATCTGCTAATGCTCTAAAAGTGAGAAGAAGGTTGATTTCTTGTTGGCCTAAGGACGTATCCTTGGGCATCCGGCCTTGGTGTAGAGGCCTAGCTAAAAGGTAAAGTATCTGAAAGATGCAGTGTTGGACGGTGACCAAAGGCCAAACAGTGGCCTTTCCTCTTGTTAAGATACTTCCCCACTGAAAGGCCACGAGGCTGTTTTCCCTGCACTCCTTTGCAGACCCTGGGAAGGGCTGTGCACATTCTCCTGGTGAAGGCATGGTGGACGTGAGCTTGGAGTTTTCTGCCTTCCCAGCAGGGCAGCACCTCCCTGTGCTGGGCGACTTCTGATGTCATCCAGCGCCCCGCCCCGCCCCACTGCACCTAACGCAGCCATTTTTTGTTACTTACCTAAAACCTGGAGCCTCTGACAGCTGCTCCTACTGGCCTTCTACTTCTGGCTAGGACTCACAGCCGTGATTTCTCCCTGAATACACCTGGTAACCTCTCTGTCCTTCTCCCGTGGCCCCACGGTCAGGCATGTTACACTGAGCAGGGGCGGGAGCCTCCTGTTTTAAGGTTCCCCACGGCACCTGGAGCGTCCGCCCTGCAGCTGCGAGGGGCACGCTGGCTCACGCTGCCCACTCCTGCTCTGCCCGGGCGGTAGACTGTGTCTGCTGCTGCCCCTCTGTCGGCACACTGCTGATTTTCCTTCATTTCAGGGGGTGCACAGTACGATCAGAATCACATCATCCTCAACACAGCCAGCGAAGAGAAGCTAACCCAAGTGTGGGAAGCCATGGTCCTGTAGACAGCGAGCACAGCAGGAAGCTTCCCGGGGGACGTTCGGCCACTTAACTTAAGAAACAGAAGAGGACAGTGCGGTGGACAGCCAAGCGAGAGCGGCCCGAGCCCTTCCCCGGCGTGAGTCGTCCTGCCGCGGGGGAGAACCATGTGGCGGCAGAGTTTGAAGCCACTTGAAAAATATAAGTGGATCGGCGCTCCGCTCATTTCTTGCTCTCAATGCCTCGGTAACCACATAAGCAAGTTCCCCATTAGCAGTGTTTAGGTGTTTTTAAAAGACGTTACGACTTCAGGACTGTGTAGACTTTTAATTTTTTTCCAAAGAATAGTGACACAAGAGAACAGGACCAAATTTCCTGATTCTGGGACCTACAAATCCCTTACACTGTGAAGGGAACCACAAACGCCTGTGTTGGTAAGGCAGGGTACTGGGGACCCTTTTGGAGGAATGCTTTTCAGCCTGCACATTTGTTCTTGGCCTTTATGTTTTCTGGACTTCTGGAAGGTGAAGTGGGAAACCCCTATATGTTCAGAAACAGAAAGCAGTCAATAAATATAAACCAAGTCCCTTGTTACAGCTGCTCCTGGAACAGTGTTATCACGGCCTAATTTAGTAGCGTCAGCTTACTCACCCACACCTCATACTGAAGCCACAGTCTACCATTTTTCCTGAACTCGGGATTTTTAGCCTGATTTCCAGCCATTACTGTCGCAGGACAGGCAGATACCTTGACACTATGGACACTACAGCCCTGGGCTCACTTCCTTCAAGTGGCAGAAAGAGGTGGGCAAAGCGCAGAGGACGACCAGAGTGATCCCCAAAAGGTGAAGGAGCGGCGCCCCAGGAGCTGTTTGCCAGCAAGCGCTGGAGCTCTGGGAACCCCAAAGTGCACTAAGGATTAAGAAATGCAGCGAGGCTGGCTCGCTGCGGCCAGGACACCGGCCCACACCCGGCTTCTCTGCCGGTTCTGAACAAAACTGCTAGATGTGTCCTCCGGTCAGTCCATTCCTCCTCCTGTGCTCAACGCTGAATACTGGTGCTCTTGTCACAAGTAGAACAAATCTTGTTTCTATTTTACCTGTTGAAGCATGTTTCTAATTCTGAGATGTGTCCTCCCGGGAGCCCACGGTGGCCAGCTGTGACCATGAGAACGGCTCTGAAATGTTGGTACAGCAGCGTCCAACATGCCTCTTGGTCTTCTGTGTCCCTGCAGCTCTCACTGTAGGTCTTTCGTCTGTATCATTAATTCATGGTGGGTTAAGATACTCTGTGATAGCCTGTGTGGAACTTCTCTGGAATAAACTTGTTTCTGGCTAACTATACTGACAAAATCTCCGAGTCCATTCAGAACCACGCACGTCACTCTACCGAGAGAGTCACAGGTCTGGGGGTTGGGGTTCCAGGGGTCCCAGGCCCTCAGCAGCAGGGGTGAGCGCAGTCCTGCCTTGCCTGCCCTCCCTGCACGTGGGCCCTCGGGGGACGAGCCAAGACCGTTCCAGTGGGAGTTAAGTGCAGTAAATTTAAAAATACCTAAAACTAATGGAGAGCGAAGACTCCAAGCGCACACCGGGTGGGTTTAGTGGTGAGACCTCTAAACATGGGCAGAAAAGGATGTACACTGGGAGCTGGGCTTTCCTGAAACGGTGGTAATTTCCATGGAAAAGCTGAGACGTGTGCTTCAGTTACTGAAAGAGGCCCAACCCTTATGCCAAAGGTAAGAGTTCAAAAACCTTAGAGTCGTTAGCCTCACCTTTCAATATGAAGGAAGCAAACACATGAATCCTAGGCCAGACTCTTACCTGTGACCTCAGCAGTTCAGTTTTTCTCTGTCCTGTGTGGCCACAGATCCAACCCAGGGCTTTGCACATTCTTGGCACGTGCCCTGCCACTGAGTGCACCTCCAGCCCTGAGGACACTGATAAACGCATTAGAGGGGAAGAATAAAAGCAAAAGGCACCATGGAAGCTTTCCACTGCTGTGGACAGCCGTGACCAAAAAAAGCCTCGGCCACTCGACTTACAGTAGGAAGTCTGGCTCCGTTTAGAGGTCTCAGCGCGTGGCTGGTGGCTTTGTTGCCTTTGGACCTGTGGCCAGGCAGCACATGGTGCTGGCAGCCAGCGGTGAGGAAGCGGCTTACTCTGGCAGGCAGGAGGGAGCCGGGGTCCAGTATCCTGTCCAAGGACCGGCCTCCTGACCCCTTGACTCTTGCATGTTTCATGGTTACAAAAGCAGCCTGGTGTGGTCAGTGCCAAGGTCTGCAGCTGCTCAGACCCACTAGACCCCGTGCTGTGACAGCCTGAGCGCTTTGACCGCTGAACCCTGGGAAACAAAATCTCAAACAGCTTCCTAGGTGGCCCATGTAAGCACAAGCCAAATGCCTGGAAGTGAGCTTCTCCCCTACCTTTGAGCTTGTGACAGGTGGATCTCCGACTGTCCTAGTACCAAGGACAGTGGTGCTCAGTGCAGGAACTTATTTTTTCCATAATCCTGGCTGCAAACAAATTGGATGGGAATGCATCACTTTTCCCCATAAGGTCAACGTTAACCCTAAGCACTTAACCACTGACTCTGACCTGGTCCTCATCCAGTGCAGTTGCAGGCAGAATGGTGGAAGAATTAGTTTGTAAACCAAGGTACCACTGTCCGTGACTTCTTTCTAATGGCACCGTTCTTTTTCACAACTGCCCCTCCTGGTGCACACACTCCCTTTCTGGCAAACCGCAAGTTTCCTTAGTTTTTCCATTGTCTTTGTTGCAATTTTCTCCAAAAATTTAGCTAAACGTAGCCAGCAGAATCCAGCTGCTGCCTGAAAAGTGTGCTACCTTGAAACTTCTAGCAGGGCCTGGTGTTGCATGCCTGTAATCTCAGCACTCAGGAGGCTGAGGCAAGAGCCTCAGCTGTGGGTTCATTGTGAGTTCCAGGCCAGCTAGAACTGCATAGCAAGACCCTATCTCACAGACAACACAAGGCTGGGCATGGTGGACACCACTAATCCCAGCATTCAGGAGGCTGAGGCAGGAGGATCACTGCAAGTTCATCACCAAAAGCCGAAAATTTCTCCCACCACATAACTCCTCACCTTAAACCCAGCCCCACACAACTCTCCACACAGTCTCAGGTCGTGGACAAAATGTTAGCAACTTCTTTTTTGCTGGACTGTAACACGAGCAGCCGCTGGTTCGATTTCCCGGAGAACTGCTACTCGCCTCTCAAGCCTGATCAGCACAGCTGACCTTCTGCATTTCTGTCAGCATTGAGATCACCTGAGCCCTCCCCAGAATCACACAACAAGCTCTGCTCACAGTGAGACAGCCCTTACTGTATCCCCGTCCTTCAAACTCGTCCAGATTCCCCTTCCGAGCCCATTCCACAGGCCTCTGAACCATAGCACAGTACCGCCCCAAGGACCCCACTTCTTGCAGCCATTTCCCTTTGTTAGCCTTCTATTACTATAAAAAACACCCGAGAATTAAGCCATAAGGAGAAAGGTGTATTCTGACTCGCGGTATGTTTGGTTTGGTGCGTTACCAGAAATTGAACTCAGGACCTCGTGCTTGCCAGGTAGGTGCTGTGCCACTGTGCTGCGTCGCTGGCCCTTGACTCACAGTTTGAAGGCTTCAGCCCATGGTCAGTGGCTTGACTGCTTTTGGGCACGGTGGAAGTACATGATGGGGAAGATGCTTACCTTACTGCGGCCAGACAGCAGGAAGAGAAGCAAGGGGCCAGGGGCCCGGTACTTCCTCCAAGGGTCACCCGCAGTGCTAACTTCCGCCAGGTTCTACCCCTAAGGCTTAGCCCCGCTCCCCAGACAGTGCAGGCCTGTGACTAAGCCTTCAGCACATGGGCTGTCTGCAACATTTCAGACCTAATAATCCCACTAGTTAGAAAAGTGCTCACTGATGAACTTAAAAAGAAACGAACTTCTGGTAAGTTCTTCACGCTAGCATCCATCCACATCCCACCAGTTTTAGGCTCTCACATGCATGAAGATGCTAAGAGATGGTTTGAGCTCACTGCAAGGTACTACAGTTATTTTCAAAGCTGGTGTCAAGGAGCAGCTTAAAGGAAACTATTTTTCACTTGCTATACAGAAGTCCAAGTGCTGATATTTTTGTATCAATTACTAGAAAATTACTGGCTAAAAAAGGTACTTATTTTTATCATGACATGTATATTCTAATCGGAAAAATGTTTGAGAGCAATGGCTAAAGAAAAAGTTTGGGACACAAGCACACTCACCAAATGAGAGAGCCAACGGCTACCATCGGCATGAGCGTTTATTTAAATGACATTAATTACAGTCTTTCCTCGTGCGTGTCCTCTTTCCACCTTCAGGAAGGCTTCCGGAACTTTAGAGAAAGGGAACGTTTGTTCAATCACTGGCTGAATCTGTAAATACAAGGAGAGACGCGTTGATGAGAAAGCCACCCCGCGTCTTCCAAGGATGAGCACCCCTGCACTTGATTCCTGCCCGACACCCTGAGGCCTGATTTGGGCCTTCTTCCCTTCCTGCTGGAGCACCGCCTCTGCTCCTGGCTGAGCGCGTCTCTCTCTGAGGAGGCCCACTTCCCCTGTCCCCCACGTCACTTCCTTATCCAGAACCCTCCAGCAGCCCCAGGCCTGGCACTCACAGGTCACTACCATGGTGCCTGCAGCCCTCCTGTAGATCGTCTGCTTTACCAAGCGGGGGCACAGCTGACCAGGCCTCGTCAGATAGTGCACGTCATAACCAAATACACATCTCACCTAACGACGGGGGCCCAAAGTCCCTGCTGTGAACACGGTGCACAGAGGCGCAGAGACGATTTACCAAGCAGAGTCCACAGCGCTCATGATACAGGGACCGCCTTTGTATTCCTGCAGGACATCCAGAATAATGCTGCTCACAGCACGGTCCTGCTAGGCACACAGGCACACAGGAGGAGCTTCCCAGAGTCACTCAGAAGCAGGAGTCTTACACGAGCTCTTTGGGCTTCAGGAGAACCCACCTAGGCTGCTCCGCTGAGCGGCGGGGCATTGGCTAAGGCTAGGAGCGCCGTTCCAGCCCAAGCATCAGTGTCAGTGCTGCCGGGCCGCCGCTCCACTGTTAGCACTGTCAGCAACCTGCTTCTGAAACCAGGTCCTAGGTGACACCACGCCCCATGCAAAAACCTAACCAAACTCCCCGTCTACAAAACATCAAGCAGAACTTCAAGTGGCCACAAGGTCCTCGCTCGGCTGCCTGCCCAGCCCCACTGGCAGGGACAGAAGGCACAAGCCAACTTGCTCGTCCTCCCATGATTCAGATGCGTCTGCCGCAACTTCTAGTGTGGCTGTCAGTGCTCACCCACCCAAAGAGCATCTCGGACTCGGGTGTGCTCCCTTCTGCAGAGGCCTCAAAGTTCTTGTCCATCCACAAGTCACCACAAGCTCCGGAGAAACAGCCACTCCACTCTCTTCCCTCCATGCCAGGCACTGTGCCAAGGTCTCCACATTTAACCTCACTGAGGGCCATTGCCCCCTCTGAGGGAGGGTAACCCTTACGCTTCATTTACAAATGAAGCAAAGTTAAATACGTTACTAAGTGCCACATTAAATGGTGACAACGTGGAAACCCTCCGCCTCTGTCTCACCTTCTGTTCCTCTCCGGGAGTGAAAGCTGGAGGTCAGCATGCTTCTTGTAGCCTGTGTCTTGGCCCGCCAGCTATGTCCAGGCCACCGAGGTGACAAATGTGTGCCAACACTCCCATGTGCCTGCAGGGGAGCTCACTGACGGACAGCCCAGCCCGCTGAGCACGGCCTCAGAGCCTTCCCCCACGCTGCAGCTGCGAGGACCCACTGGAGCCCTGTGTGTCCCACAGGAAGCCCGCTGCCTTGTTTAGCACCCTGGGACGCCGTTTTCTAGGTGACGTTTGTTTTGTTTTGGTCTTTTTGAGACAGGGTCTCGCTATGCAGTTCAGGCTGGCATGGAGCTTGCAGTGACTCTCCTGCCTCAGCCTCTCGAGCACTGGGAGTCACCGCCTGGCCTGTAGATGCTGTTTACCTAGCGGAGGAAGGACCTCAATGCAGGCTCAACACGCTGTCCTACTCTCCAGTGAGATCACCCAACTCCAGGGTGAGGAAGGACAGTGCCCTTTCCGTGGGCTTCCTGGAGAGCAGAGCAGTGCTCACTGCAGTGGGGTCACTGGCGCCTTCTGCCTATTCTCAGACACATTCTCAGCCACTCCACAAAGACCTGCTAAGCGCTGCCTTCTAAGGGCTAGGCACTAACCCGGAGCAGGGACACAGAGAGGGCTCCGCTCCAGAATGAGCCGCCTAGGCCACAGAGCACTGCCGGGAGCCACCCCGGCTGACCCGATGACCCCGGCAGAGGCTGCGAGCTCTGGTCAGACCTATTGCTGACCCTGGCATAGTGAGTCACTCAGCAGTTCCTGTAAGAGACAATGAAAAGGGGCTTTGGATCAGAGGCAGGCAAATGCCACAGTTGGCTGAATAGGTGACAGCAAGTGGAGATTATCTGGATAATGTCACAGTGTCTATGCAGAGCCTCACATCAGACCCAGAATGCGTGTTTGTCAAGGACAAAGGGGTTGCAGTTAAAATCCAGAGAGGGGATAGAAAGGCTACTCGCAGTGAAGTGGGGACATTTATGTGATGACACTGCTGTTGTCCACCTGGCACGGGCAGCTGTTATAAAGTGGGCAGGCCCAGCACCACCTTCCCGCAGCAGACGCCAAGCTCACGGGGGACCAGGAGAGGCCCCGGGGGCAACGCTCCTCCAGGCCTGGATGTGCACGGGGGGCTCCTAGGGGGACCTTATCTTCCTCAAGGCCACGCCGAGCCAGAACCAAGCCTGGGCACCTGCTGTGTGACCATTACAGTGTATAACTGGACCAGGGAAACCTCACCCTCCTGAAATCTGGCCTTACAACATGGTGCCCCACCAGGCCCTAGGCGAGCTCTCTGGGCTCTGATGGCCCATTTTTCACCCTCTGGAACTGGTGTTCTGGGCGCAGCACAGCACATAGGCAGGCATGGCAGAAGGCAGCGGGTTCCCCTAATGCTCCAGTTCCCAACAAGAAAGAACAGCGGTGCTGAAAAACGATCTGAGAGCCCATGCTGCGGATTAGGAAGCTGACACGCAAGGGGCGGAATGGTTCTTGTGACATCAGAGCTGTCAGAGGCAGAGCCAAAATCAGACCAGGACACCCGATCTGACTGCCAACTGTGACAGCTGTGGTCTGGGGGTCACCATCTGTGCAGCTCTTCCCTGGACCCCCAAAGCATGGGGTGTGTGGCGCAGGTGGACAGATGACACCAACAGGACCTCAGAGCTCCCCGCACCCACGGATGGCCCCGGACCACACCCAGCACCTCTTCTTAGATGGGGACGCTCTGACCTCCGTGACAGGCGACAGGCTTGGCATCTTCAGGACTCGCAGGTGCAAAGGGATAGAGGAGACGTCCAGTCCCTTGAGATAACAAGAGGGCACGGGGTTTTGTTCCAATTTGCAATTCTGTGGCTACTTTTTGCCCCCAGACAGAAAACTCCAAGCTGAAAACATAAGTGTTGGGGTAGAAAGGACACAGATACAGATGAGGGTGCTCTCCGGGGAGGAAAGGCCTCGTTCTGGAAGCAGCAGAACTCGTTCCCGTCCCCCGAGAGTACAACTCCGGCTAGAAGGTGAGGGAAAACTTGGTATGCATTTCCTCACAGAAAGAATTTCAGCAGCATCAGAAAATCTGCAGGAGCGTCAGGAGATGCTCACTGTATCTGGCAAGCTAACCCTCTTCCGGTGGCCCCAGGGATCTGATCTGTAATGGTTACATTCCTTCTAGAGAGCAAAATTCAGGCGCAGCATGGAACATCAATGGATAGGACACAGTCCACTGGTAAATCAGGGCCTGGCCGCCCCAGCAGGGCTGAGGGCAACTGCCTCCCTCCGAACTGGTGCGTTTCACACCAGAGCTGCGGAGTCCAATATGGCAGCCTCTAGACACATGCGGCCACTTACACTCAGTAACAAAATGAGCAAACTAATAGGAAAACTTCAGTCTTCCAGTTGCACCAGCCACATTTCAATTGTTCCAGTCATAGATGGTGAGGGACTGCCACCAAGGACATGTCCATCACTGCAGAAAGTTCCAGAAGACAGCACTGCTCAGAAGGCAACTTGGTATGGCCAATGCAGCGCCCCATCCCTTCCAGGGCAAAGCAGAGTGCCAGGAGGCCCTCGGTACATGTCTGCAACTGAGCTCAAGCAAGTTACTCGGGGACCCTTCCTACGCTGGCGGACATAAAGAAAGAAACTCTGTTTCCTCTCTTCAAGGAGCTTGGCTGCTTGTACCGGCTTTTGAATAGACCTGTAAACGGTGGCATCAGAGGACGCTAATAATGGCACAAAGAATATAACACACTCGAAAAGCTAAAAGGGAGCCAGCAGCGTGGTACAGACATGCAGCTCCAGCCCTTGTGCAGGCTGAGCCAGGAGGTTCACGGAGCCCAGGAGCTCAAGCTCTGCCAGAGCAACACTGCCACACTCCATGTCAAAGACAAATAAACACATCTGTAGAAGTTAAGGAGCAAAAGCCTTCTTGTACTTAATCTCCAGCCACCCAGTTTCCCTCTTTAGGGGCAAACGGTATTTTACAATCCCTTCACATACCTTTGAGATATTTTACGCATTTGCGGTAGGCAGAATAGTGGCCTCCCAAGATACTCACATCCTAATCCCACAAATCTGTGCACGTTACCTTCCATGGCAAAAGCTGCCTAACTGCAGATGCCACTAAGTCAAGCATCCTGAAGGGTGGGGGTCGCCGTGGTTCATTCCCTGTGCTCCCTGAGGCTGGAGGGCCAGGCCCGAGAAGGTGTGATGGGGACGTGGAGGGCAAATGATGCAGCCCAAACCACAGGATGCAGGCAGCCCCTGCAAACCCGAGAAGGCACGGCGACACTTCTCCCTTTAGCCCGTCCCCCGGAAGACAGCCCTGTCATTTGACACAAAAAGATACAATAAAATATCAAGACTTCAAACGACCCGTGTAACACTCCTGTACACCAGTGGAAAATGATGAATGAGGAATCCAGTGCAGGAAGGGTCACTGTTTAACTTCTAGGCCTCAATCCTAAAGGCAGCAAAAGGCAGTGGGAGAGGCTGTCCTCGGAGTCCCAAGGTGTCGACCTAGGTGACTCAAGCATGCCATTTAAATTTTTAGTCTCTTTAAGTGTGACGCGACAACGGGCGAGGACTACTGGATCCGTACTAGGCTTTTCTGCTTCTAACTGTGCTAATCAATGACATAAGCACGGCCTGAATATTTGCTATGGGCCTCCCATTTCCCACCCCAAGAAAGTTTGCTAAATAATATAAAAATAGGAAATGTGTACTGTGCTTAATAAAAAAATGCCATGAACTACAGGCCCTGGGCCCCAGGCACAGTGTCAGTAGCAGTCCATTAGGCTGCAGGGCCGGTCACGCACCAGGCCCCGTGAGACTGTGCAGGGGAACAGTGCTGCGCCCCTGGCTGCGTGGAGCAAAGCGCCCAGGGGACTCCGCTGTCACCAGCCCAGCAGCCCCTCCTCTGCCTGCTGTCAGCTGGGGGCTGGCATAACTGGGTTAGGTGGTTAAAAAAAGACCTAAACTAGCAGTCTAAGATTAGAAAACTCTTTCCATAAAAGGGCTAGATAGTAAATATTTGAGTGCTTGTAGACCACACATAATCTATGTTCTTTTCCACTGTTTTTGAGTAAGTCAATGTAGAAGCCATACTTAGCTCAGAGACTGTACAAAAACAGGACTGGATTGGCTCCCTGGCTATAGTTGGGTAACCTGTGGCTAAGCAATAATGGACACACTATATAGTTCTTCACATCCAGACTGACATTGTGTCCAGCTGGAATAAATATGAAATTAGAATCCCACCATGTGCAAGAGGACCGCATGATGACAGCTACGTGAAAACAGCGAATTCTCCTCATGCTGGTGCAATGTCAGCTCCTCATCACTTTGGGCTTGACAATGGTGGGCACTAATTCCAGAAATATTCACTAGTGGAACCCTTTGGGAAGGCAAAGACCGTGTCTTAGTTACTTTTTACTTTGTCACTGAGACAAAATACCTGAAGCCCAAACTGGGGAAAGGAAAGGTTTATTTCTTACAGTTTTTTGGAGGTTTCAGTCCACACTTGGCTCCAAGGCAGGCGGGCATGGTGGGCTGCAGTTCATGGCGGCTGCAAACAGCAAGCCGGAACCAGCAAAGAGCAAGACACACCTTCTTCCTGCCATTACATCACATCCTGGCTCCACCCCTGTGTGGGTGGAGCACTGACACCATCAATCCAAGCACTATCACAAATGAACAATGCAAACTCATGAGGCCTGGGGGCCACAGACATAAACCATGACCGACAGTGCGGTCGGTGCTGGTACAGACGGAGAAGTCTCATTATCGCAGATATTCATCTGGGGCTTCCCCAGTGTTCACCAGGGTGCCACACAAGGACAGCAACATCCCCCAATAATACTATCCAGACTCTAGTCTCAGTCAGGACGGCCTGAGTTAGAAGTGACCAACGCCAGATCTTCACATTTCCAAAAGCAAGTCTCTCAGGAAGTAAGAAGGTAAAAGGGCAGGAAATGGGGCGGGAGGTCCTGGAAAGCGGCTGAAGGAGGAATTCCCCACACTGTGTATGCAGACTAGACCTTCAAAAGCGATCTGAAGACCTGTTCTGAGTGCAGATAGCTTTGCACTCAGTGATTTCATGTCTATGAACAGAAATGGATGTTCTCACGATTAGATACTTAACGCAAATACAGATCTATCCACTGGTTTGTCCATTATCATTATCATTATTTGCAAAAGATTAGAATGAATAAATCAAGGATGGCATATCTGTACCAAAGAATATCACACAGCTGCTAATAAAGTCAGGGATGAAGAAGTTTTGTACCCTAATGTGAAGCGAAGGCGAGGCAGGCCGTTCAAAGAAAGTGAGGGATACAATTCAAAGTGATTACATGAAACACTTTCCCTATGTTTTGGGATTTTAGGCCTTGGGAATATATTTATTTACTTAAATTAAACTTAAACTGTTAAGTTAAATTTAACTTAAAATGTTCTATAATAGTAGGTTCTATTGTTCATGACTTTAAAAAGAACTACAGCCCTCTATCAGACACCTGCTAACTACATTCCTTACGCCCTCAGCCAAAGCTTAAAAGAAGCTAAACATCTTTCTCCAGTGGACCAAACCTCTACTAACTGCACAGCACATAAGATCTGTCAGGTGACTCCGATTTCCCAGGAGAGGCAGGCACTGGCCTCTGCCACCCTCAGGGAAGCAGAGGCATCGAGACAGCTGGCCTTGTCGTGACACCCAGCATCACCTATCAGCTCGGTGCAGGTCCAGAGCGCTGCATTGTCAGAAATGATTTCCCAGGCTCAGAAGCCTGGCTGGGAGTGAGAAGAATCCAAGGCGTAAGATTTCCTTGTTCATCCTGCTTCAGAGATACTTGCAGAGAGAGCATCTATTCGCTATTGCTTCCTCTGTTCCATCAGTTACCTGCTAAATCCCGGAGGTGAATATATACAAATCACCTCTCGTCTCCGTGGGGTCAACAGTGACTTCCCAAGGAGAATGTCACACCCTTCTGAATACAGAAGAGCAAAGGGAAGCGTGTGAGCTGCCTGGACAGTGCAGTCCACGGGAGGCTTTCAGAGGGCTGAGACCCCGCTAACGATGTGGGCCAGCTGCATGCAGCACTGATTTCCCTTTTCCTAGCAACAAGATAAGCATCCCTCTGGGATATGGGAGATCCCTACAAGAGGCACTGACACAGTCACAGTGACAGCAAGCCAGTCTTTACACAGCAAGAGCTAGGAGTCCAGGAAAAAGCTTGCAAACCTGAAACCAAAGGATGTGGGAAGTACTAACTGGCCGTCTCCTACACAGTCCCTTAATTACAACAAAAACTCAAATGCACAGAAAGCAGGAAGCGGTTCTTAAAACAGTCTGTCCTAAAATCAAAATGAAAGATGAAACGGGCCAGCAAGCGGCAGGCAGCCACAGAACAAAGCCCACTTTCCAGGGTCATCCTAAGTGTCCAACACAGATGGTGAGGTGGTTCTGCTGGTCCTGTGCCAACCTCTTTCCCTACACACTGCAAAATAACAAGGACAAGACAATGCTCACAGAGTCTCCAATCAGCTCAAACACGCAACAGGCAGCCACATGGAGGCACCGGAAAAGCACGGGCCCAGGGGTCTGCAGGGGTGAGTTCTGGTCCCCGCTCTGCAAGCTTCAGCGCATCCCTAAAACAGGAATCAGTGTATCTCTGAGCTTATGCATCCCTTTAAGGTACATGAGACTCTCAATCCTGTAATTACACACAATCTCGCAAAAAATCACCAATACCAAAACCAGGATATGAGTCCGCCTTTTGGGTTCCTCCCCAGAACGGGGAACGGTAAAGGCAGCTGAGTGTAAGAAGCTAAATAAGCAGCCGGTAACTGAAGAGGCTGCTAATCTCAGGAGGCTTGAAAGGGCCGCTGACACCCAAAGAGTTAAAGGCCCCAAGCAAAAGCCCCTCTCCCTGAGGTCCCTTGCAGGACACACATTAGCAGTCAGAGGACACCAACCAGTTATCTCCATCCGAACCCCGTCAACCCCACCCCTCCGCCCCGCCCCATGCCCTGGCCACCAACCTTCAGATTCACCATGTTTACACTGGATTTCCTTTGCTAGCCTGGGAATCAAGATGCTGGGGAACTGCTTCTCACCCAGACAGGTTGGGGTTTAGATGCTACAGTGTTTGTTTCCCTTGTCGTGTGGAAAGCAGCCTATCTCCAGGGCAGCCTCAACCTCAGACGAAGTCATTTCCGGGAGCTGTTACACTGCAGACCTGCAGGGGTATTACCATCGCTGTGCAGAGATGGTGCCATCTTTTCAAGACTACTACCAAAATATGAGCAGGCCAACACAGAGCCCAACTCGGCGACAATCTCATCAAGCGTCTCTAAGAGTACTGCACAGTCTCTACGCCTGCCTCTTCAGCTACTCAGAAAGGAGGCTAGACTACTCGGTTAGACTGCAGACATGGCAGTCTGCGTCCAGTTCTAATGGAGACAGAACCAAAAACATCACATAGAAGTTTGGCCGTGTAAGGCAGCGTGTATGTCAGCCAAGCCTACTTCTGGAGAGTTCCCACCGCTGAAGCCAGTGGGCAGGTCTCAAGACATGTTTCAGCAACACAAAAGCTCCCAAATAAAAGGTTTTCAGATACACCTACCTTTCCTGCATCTACCAGCTTTGCAATTTCATCTAGATGTAGACCACTGGCCATGAAAAAGGCCCAGCGATAATGGACTCCTTGCCAGAAATGCTGAAAAGAAAACAAAACATGTCAAACATAAAGGATAAAATCTGACAGTGGAAGTTCAAGGCAAGGCATTATCTAGATGACCAAGATGGACAAACTGACCTCCCATTTCACGGTGACACCCGAGCACCGTGACTAACAGCAAATGCTCCACAGTGTTTAACAAATGAATAAACAAACAAAAATAGACCCATGTCCGAGAGGCAGTGACAACTAACTAGGAGGCTAATGTTCGGGAAGAGCTTTGCATGTATCCTGCATTATGCCACATTCACTTTGATTGTCTAAAGGGAGGTGAATTCACTTCACAGGTCAGGACACTGGGCTTAGATAAGGCAGATCAATTACTATTATGGGTTTTTTTCTGCAAGGGTTTGGTACGAGCCTAGGCTGGCCTCGAACCTGTGGCGATCCTCCTGCCTCAGCCACCTCGCCTGGCGTAGGAAGGTGAATTAACAGCTTCACTTCACAGGTGAGGACGCCGGCTCACCAATGCTAGGTACTTACAGGGTCACACAGCTACTCCGTTCCGTTCTCTGAACTCAGCCAGTGCGACTCCCAGAATGCGTGCTGGCAGTGATGTGCTATGCTGCCGCCAGGAGAGGAAGTGGCCAGGGTCACCCCGCGTTCCAGCAGCAGGGCCCCGGGGTGCTCTCACTGGCTGAAACGCCCCCTCGTACCTTCAACGCCTTGGTGCCGACGGTGAACCCCGTCTGCAGCATGCCGTCTGCGATGCCCAGGCGGTCCATGTTCAGCAGGAAAGGAGTCACCAAAGTCACATAGGTGGCTCCTGACCATTTCTTGAGAAAATTCAGAGCCCATGTTTCTGTGGAGCCACCAACATTGTCAAGGATGAAATCAAACCTGGAAGGAGAAGCGACCGCGGGACCTTGTCAGCCTCCCCGACTGCCATCGTCAGGCGGCCACAGCTCTGTCTCTGTCAGCTCGCAAGCCGGCCTGTAGCAGCACCCAGCTGGGGGTGGGGGCCTCAAGAGCACACCCCTCATCCGCTAGGGCTTTTCTCCAACATAAATTCAATGTCATAGGTTTTTGGTCATAAAAATCATGTTTTTTAATAGTTTAAAAATGACCTAACCAAGTGGTTCTGAATCAGATTTTGGCTGCCTGCCATGCACAGCATAAGCTCTCATGCCAAAAGAGTATCCAGCCCCAAAGTTACCAAGGTTGAGGAATCCCAACTGGAGCTTTGGAGAAAAGTGCCAAGTGATCCATTCAATATACATTATTCTTTAGTGCACAGGAATACTTGGAAATAAAAAGTATGTAAGGCTTCTACTCAAAAGACTGATTTTATTTCCTCCACTTAGGAGGAATATCTTCACCTAGATTTCCTACTTTCTGGCTCACATACAGTACCAGGGTGGTGCATGAAGAGAGATGACACCGTTCTCTCAGGCCTCAGTTCTGCTCTAACACGGCAACGAAGCAAATCATTGGAATGCTGGGAAATGACAGCTGTGTAAATCCTTACATTCAACCTAAAAACTGCTGTAATCAATATACTCCACTTGGAGAAGATAAAAACCCACTAAAGCATTTAAATACTTTGGGAAAAAAAATAATCTATTTAAACAATGCATTGTGTAAACTAAGTAAATCAACTGAATTCCTGTTGGATAAATCTTTTTTTCCTTCCTAATTCATCCTGGTGAAGTCAAACATCAAAGCTCTTAAAACCAGCTTTGGCCAATTTCATGGCTCTCAGGAGTTCCATGGGATTAAACTAAAGAAAGACAAATAAAAAATCAAAGAACATGCAGTGCAGAAGAATGACCTTACTAGGTAATTATTCCTCTCCTTACAATAGTTTCTCCTTCCTTCCCAATCTCTGAAGAAACAAACATGAGGACACTTAGAAGTCAAGGACAGCGTGGTATTGTAGAGCAGGCACTGTCTGAGAAGACATCTGGAGATCAAATTATAGACCCAACTCTCCGCCAACAATTCATGGCATCACTCCGAGCATACAGAAGTCCTCTGCCCCTCATTTTCCCTAGAGCCCTGACCACCGACACTCCCTGACCAGAAGGCAAGACCATGAAGCCAGTATGTGTCTCATTCCCCCTGTCGCCAGGCTGCAGAGGTCCAGGCAGCCAGGACGGTGCTTCCTCGGGAGCTGCACATGGCAGTCCCGGAGGAGGTGGCTGAGGAAGGAAAGCAGGGTCAGATGGGGTGGGGCTCCCCTGTTTTTCTTCAGTCTGTGGAAACACACTACTTAATGTGAGCAAGAACAATAGGTTTCTAAAAACTAATCAAAAAAGGAAAAACCTCTGAAACATGCAGAAAGACAGCTTTCCGAGCACTGTTCAGCTGGAGTCACAGCTTCCGTCTTGCCTAATGAAGACCCATTAAGACAGGGAGCCACAGTCAGAACAACAGGGCAAGAGAGAATCCTAGCACATCCCTGTTCATAGCTCAGGCCCGACGCTCGCCTGACCTCACACATGCTGAAGACACCTGTGCCCTCCGCTCCCAGTAATCATCCGTGAGCCCAAAGTCAAAAATACCTGCTAGTCAGGTATTTCCAGGCACCATTTTATATTCTTCCTATGGTGACAGATGCCACCCAACGGAGTGCATTTCCAATTTTTCTTCAGACCTCTAACAAGACAGCAATAAAAATATATTAACTTAAAATTAGCACAGACCACGTAAGCAGTCACTTTCTCGGTATACATCATGTGGTTACTGTACCTATTAACCTCTACGATTAGAATGGAACTCAGTGATCCAGATTCCAACCGGCCAGCAAGGCCATCAAACCACCTCCATGTGCATTATCAACTGTCCTTGTGCCCACCTCCCGAGGGGAGCACTGTTCTAATACATACGGTTTTAAGGATCTGAGCTGTTCTTCTACACTTCCAGATTTGTAATCAATGATATCATCTGCCCCAAGCTTCCTGACGAGCTCGCTGGCGTCTTTCGAGCAAACTGCTGTCACGTGAGCATCCCACGCTTTCATCACCTGTCAGAGAACAAGAAAAGGAGGGGGAAATGGATCAACCGCATTAAACACAAAGTGGACACCGCGTGTTCCTGCATCAGACTGCTCCTCACAGAACTCTCAGTACATCATCTTAACAAGAACCGCAAGAAGCCACCAGTCAGACCAGTAAAAATGATAAAATAAAAAGGAAACTAAATTCTAATGTGATGCTGGATTAAGAATGCAGAAAGCGGAAGGGGGCCACAGCTCAGTGGCACAGCACCTGCCTGGCAAGCGTGAGGTCATGAGTTCGATTCCTGATACCAAAAAAAAAAGAATGCAGAAAGCTTCCCGTTCCGCAAGTGCTATAATTCTTTTCTACAATATCAACTTAATAGGATTTCTAATGAGCTTGTAATGAAAACTGCCAAGCACCAATTACTGGAGAAGGCACAGGTTAAGGAGTACGCAATGATTCTCCAGGTGCCTGGCCACACACAGAGATGTTACCTGTTAGTTAGGTGGCAGTGTGGCTGGCACCTGGGCCTCACCCATGCACAGCAAGCCTTCTTCCCTCCTCCAGTTAAAGGGAAGACTTTCATCTTAATTTGAAAATAGCTAACTAATTCACTGAGAACTTCGTATATGGGTAATTGTAACACATCAGCTGTTCTCTCAACCCTGTCCTGCGTATCAATTTCTTGAACTTCTTGCAGGTAAGTTGCAAAATTTCACTAGATTATAAGGGATCTGTGTTTCGCAGTGTGGTACCCGCTCACTCCAGGGCAGGCCAAGGCGCTAAATAAACACCTGGAAAGTACAAAAAACACAGCTCATAAGCTCACCTAATTTCTCACTTTTTATTCCAAAAAGCAATACTGGCCAACAGGATGCATATCTTGCAAATCTGAGGAGAATTAAAACATCTCTGAAAGGTATCATGTAGGATTTATTTTGCTTACAGGCTACAAACAGAGACACTACAGGAAAATAACACGGTGCACAATCCCTAAATCAAATTCAAACACAACCCAAGACAAGCAGCTTGCTGTGACCATCCTTTTTCTACTGTCTGTACAAGAAATGACTATGGAAAAAGAAAATTACATGCTAAATACCTGCATCCAATGTGTTTGTCTTTAAAGGCTAAGGAAGAATGTCACGCATTTAAATAGTTCAATTAGGTTTCCTCCAAATTCTAATTTTTCCTTTTCCATTTGGAACTACAGTATCTAGTACTTTGAATATTACTAAAAGGTTTACTTTGTTTTCTATAAAACACATACATAGAAAATACCTATTAGGAAGCAAAATGCCAGCAACCATTTCAAAGATCTCTGTGCCTGTCCAGCAGAAATGCCTCTCTCGCTCACAAGCTCTTATTATCTTAATTTTTATAGTAATCACCTCATTGCATTCAAAAAGGGTTATCACTCAAATATGCACTGCTTAGGTGCTATCGTTTGGTCTTATGTATTTTTAAAATGTGGTCTCTCTCCAATTATATTATAGACTCCTCTTCTAGCCCTTTCCTTTTAAAGCCCACAAAGAACGTGAAGAGAGAGACTTCAACAGAGGAGGAGGTGGCAAGCAGCTCTTTCTCCCTGAGCCCTGACCCCCTCTGCAGGAGGGGCAGCTTGACCCTGGGGATGCACGGTGACTACTGGCAATCCCAGAGGCCTCCACAGAGAAAGGTACCAGCGGAATGGAGCAGTGAATGCGGCACACTGCAGTGGCCGATGGTGCCGGATCAGACCTCCCTGAGGAGAGGGTGACTGGCTGGTGGCCATCTAGAGCAGGACCAGCTGAGTTCAGAACTCTGGAGCACCAGGGGGCTAATTCCAGGTAGTTAGTCGCTCCCAGTGTCGCGGTGAGGCAGGAAAGACTTCAAACTGGCCAAAGATCAAGCAGCTGAGTTCAAGCTAGCAGGAGACACTGAGCGCGGCAGGTTGAACAAATTTGGGTCCAGCTGCACAGCCAGAAACCAGACTGAACTTCGATGAAACTAACGGTGCAGGATTGCTGGGATTATCCACCATCCCAGCATAAATCTACAGCGGCTTGCTGGGATCCTACCAGTGACGGCAGAAACGCATCTTGAAATGGACATTTTTTCTTATTTTCTTTTCTTGTTTTTGTATGTTGTTTTTTATTTTTCTTCATTATTTGTGCTTGTTTATTTATGTGTGAACATCATTTCTAGTTTTTTTGTTGTTGTTCTGTTCTCTTTGTCTTTCCTTTCTGTCTTCCACATCAGTTTCCCAAAGTCTGCATGAGCGTCCTTTGTCCTCCAGGCTTCTTCTAATCTCTTTCTTTTCTTCTATCTCTTTTCCCCAACCTCTTTTAAACCCCCTCCCCCAGGGTAAAGATCATCATACTGAGGGCATATTTACTGTATACAATTTTCTAGTTCTAGATTTTGCTAGATAACCACAATTTAGTTCCGATGCTTTAAGGTGGCAAATTAATAATTATCACAGTTTTTAATTTTCTAGGTTGTGTTTGATACTATTGTTATTGGTGATTGTGCAACTTTACCAAATGAGACATAATTGTTCTAATCGGCTTTTCTAGTGTTCAGTTGCTAGTATACCAAGACTGAGATTGCCTAACGGTCATAAAAAGTATATAGTCCAGTGCCCAAGAACCAGGAGCTAGGCCAAATAGGAACCAACTTCTCATCTCCAATAAATTGGACAGACTTTAAAGAGTCTCAAAACTCAAAAGCCAGCTACAACTGGAAGCCATCTCTGAGAAGTAGTCATTTCTTCTTTTTTTTTCTTATCGGTACCGAGGATCGAACTCACAACCGCCCTGCTCGCAAGGCAGGTGCTTATGCCGCTGAGCTAAATCCCCAGCCCCTAAGTAGTCATTTCTTAAGATTTAGAATAGTAGCAATAAAGTTCTTTGCCATAAGCAATTTATAAGCATCAAGCCAGAAATTAAAAAAAAAAAAGAAAAAGGCAAAATAGAAAATGAAATGTTACTTAAGTACAATGCACCTGCAGCTCACCAAGGGCAAACCCAGGGGGCAATGAGACGAAGAACTTGAAAACCAGCCACTCGGACTCTCTGAAGGGGTGAGAGCAGAAGTGATAAAGCGGATGGATAAGGCCCGCGGGGGAAATCATCAGAAATAATTTCTCAGGTAACTAGAGATGGTGACCATGATGAAAGACATGCTTGGTGAATCTAGAGCAGAATCAGATAAAAAAGGAGGGGGACTTGGGAAAATGAAGGAGACAATGAATGCCCAGCATAGGAAAGAAGTGGAATCCACGGAATACAGTCAGATAGACTCCCAGAGATTAAAAATTTCACTGAAAGTATATGCAGCAAAATGAGCCGGTGTGAGGAGAGAATATCAGGTCGAGAAGACAGAAATGAGGTTGGCATCATGAAAAGATTCCTTAGAAATAGCAGGAACCATGAAAAATCAATCCAGTGGTTACTAATTATTTAAAAAACAACATGAGACTGAGCAGAGTCAATACAAAAAAGCAGAAGATAGCACAAATGACATTTTAAAAAACCTGTTCACAGAAGTATTAACAGAAAACTTCCCAGGCAGGGAAAAATAATCTGACATTCAGATAAGTGAGGCACATAGAACTCTAATTAGCCGTGATAAAAAAAAAAAAACAACAATAAAAAAACAAACCTACACCAAGGTATGCAATAATTAAAATTCCAGAAATTCAATGCAAGCATAGATTAAAAGCTATTAGATGAAAGAAACAAATCACCTTTAAAGGAATGCACCAGGATCATAGCAGACTTTTCAACACAAACCCTTGAGGAGAGCTTGAAGTATTTCAAGCCCTGAAAGAAAACTATGTACTCTACAAAACGATCTTTCAAAATTGATGAAGAAATGTTATTTCCATGACAAAGAACACCTGAAAAGATTCATAATCACCAAACTAGCACTACAAAGTGTTCTGAAGGACATTTTAAAAAGAGATAATGAGGGCTACACTCTATGAATCCCAACAGAAGGAATCTACTAAACAGGGGAAAATATGGGAACCAATAAAAGGAAAAAAAACCACGGTAAGTCAATACAGTATCAGTTATAACCATCAAAGCTATTCTCCCAATTCACCAATCAAAAGAAACAGACTGGCAGAATGGATAAAAAAGTAAGACCTAACAATATGCTGCATACAAGAAACATATTTAACTCAGAAAGAAATTTGCAGACTGAAAGTCAAAGGAAGAAAACAATACTCCATGTGACAAGAACCTGAAAGAAAGTTGGGTGGCTCTTCTATGTGCAGACAAAGTGGACTGCAAACCAAGACTGCTTAAGAGAAACAAATGAGGTCACTAAAGCTTATAAAGGGAACAACCTAAAAAGAAATGATAATCATAATTATATATGCACCAAATACCAGGGCACTCAATTATATAAAACAAATACTAACAGATATGAAAATCAAATAATCTCTAATACAACTGTAATGTGGGACCTCAATACCCCACTGTCACAAATAGATAGATGAACTAGACAAAAAAAATCAATAAGAATTATCAGAACTGAACCAAACTTGAACAAATGGACTTGTAGAGGGCCACTTGTAGAGTGTTCTACCCCAAAACATTAGAATATACAGCAGCAGCACATAGGATGTTCTCCAAAACAGACCACACACTAGTTCACAGAATAATATGCTTAAGTAAATACTGAAAAATATCCCACGCATGTTATCAAATCATAGTGCAATGAAATTCAAAACCAATGGCAAAAGAAACAAGAACTTCATAAATACACGGAAAGTAACACCCTCCTGAATAGCCAGTGGGTCACAGATGAAACTCAGAAAGAAACTAGACAATTTCTACAACAAAAGCGGTCCCGTGAGGGAAGTTTATAGCAGTGAATTCCTGTATCAGAAAAACAGAGCAAGCTGAAGTAAATAACCTAAGGTTGAATCTCAAACTTCTAGCAAAAGAAGACCAAAGCAAATCCAAAGCTTTATAAAGATCAGAGCACAAATTAATGTAATGGAGACTAAGAAAACAATAGAAACAATCAA